TGGTAATTCTAGACCATCGACTCTCGATCCAAGTCCTTCTTGTCGCTGGCCAGTTTTGACCGGATGGAATGAAGAGGGGACCTGCCCAGACCGCTGTCCACATCACTCTGCCGCTCAGACAGGGAGTGGATGTCGGACAGGGTGGCCAGTTCCTCCGGCTCTTCCTTGTCCTTTATCTCCTCCTCCGGTTCGTCCTCTTCGATGACCTGTTGGTTGTAGAACATCTCGAAGTTGGAGACGATGACGGGAACCGGAAGCGCGATGGACAGCAGACCGGATATGACGCAAAGCGCGCCGATGAGCTTTCCGAAGGTGGTCTGTGGTAAAAAGTGGATGTATTATATGCAGCGGCGGTAATAGACATATCAGTCTGAATTTTGTTGGCATTTATATCGTCAATTACTAACACAAAAGATCAGATAATGAGATGTACTAATGGTTGATGATGATGATTAGTCTTACATTGGCAGTCAACTGACTAAATCGGTGTCAGACTTTGCAAAATATCGAAACTAATCAAGTGGGAAAATCCAGTAACATATTTTCACCCTTCAAAAGTTAAAAGAGCAGCGTGTTTAAGGACTAAAGAGTTAAATAAAACAAAAGAAGGATATACAGCGTTGGGACATTTCAAACAGAGCGTGTAGGCATAGGTACACACATACAGATATACCAATAGTGATATGAAGGTAACTTACAGTTGGGTACATGTCTCCGTACCCCACCGTGACGATGGTGATGATGGCCCACCAGAAGCCGTCCGGGATGGACTGGAACTTCGTCTCCGGGTCCGCCGACTCCACGAAGTACATGATGGAGGAGAACAGGACCACCACGATGGATAGGAACACCATCAGCATGCCGATATCTGACAGACTGCGCGCCAGCGTCTTACCCAGGACCTGGGTTAGAGGGACAGAGAATATACTCGTGATTACAAGCAAAGCAGTTCAAGCCAAGAGCTGTATCATTAGTAACCTACAGGGCCATGGCATTTCCAGAACACGTTTGAAAAAAGAAGTTCTGCAGTTACAGAACAAGAGTAATAGGGAGCTCAAGCCTATGTTACGCAAGAGCTACATGTATCTACCATCCCAAAACGGTCACTGTAGCATGTCCAGGGCAAGATATAAAAAAACAGTCCTCCTGCAGTGCCTTAGAAAGGCGCTGGGGGCCTTTAGTCTAAAAATTTCTTCACTTGGTCAACACCTACCATGCCAAAGACACCAGATATCCACAGCTTCAAGTTTCGCACACACACACAGAATGAAGCTTTCTCCCAATCAAGAAAAACCCGCATTACATATATGTAGATTGCTTCAAAAGCGTATAAGACTCGTAAAATGTTTTAAAAACAGTTAAGTTTGAAGCATTACATGTAGCATGATATAGGCGTCACCTCAAATTACTGGGTGCCCGTCCCTGACCTCTTACCTTGAAGCCGCGGTTGTACCTGGACAGTTTGAAGGTCCTCAGCACCCTCAGGCAAGGGTCTGACTGGCCAATGGTATGTACCGAACCCCCCGAACAATTAGTCTCCCCACTTGGCTAAATTTTGCTGTTTTTCATTGAACCTGAACCCTTACCTTGAAGCCGCGGTTGTACCTGGACAGTTTGAAGGTCCTCAGCACCCTCAGGACGAACAGGAACCGCAGGTCGATGTCCTGGTCATGTCCGGCTAACGCCGCGATAATCAGCGTCACGTAGTACGGCAGGATGGAGAGCAGGTCCACCACGTTCAGCATGCTGTGGGAACGAGATCGGGTCATTAATGTATTATAGACCACTTTTCACATTATAGACCACTAGACCCATTATAACACATTACAGCCCGGCTAACGCCGCGATCACCAGCGTCACGCAGTTAGGCAGAATGGAGAGCAGGTCCACCACGTTCAGCATGCTGTGGGAACGAGATCGGGTGATTAACACATTATACACCTATGGGAACGAGATCTGGAGATCATCACATTGTATATCTATGGGGAATTTAAATCGGGAGATTAACTCATTCTAGAAAGAAGAAAGACCGAAAAAAGGCATGAAAAATTTCAAAAATGAAACCTAAACCTCTTCTTGGTGAAAAAAAAAAAGATACCGGTACACAAAAAGAATGCCTGGTAAAAACGCTTGAAAAGACGCCAGGTGTCAGAAAAGCCAAAGGCTAAGCATTGTTATGGTCTCATTTCCCCCTCGGGCAAATGAACGCCAAACGGTCAATTATTCCGCCTATTTGGCTAAATTTAATGTCTTTCTGAACCCGCCCTGTTAGTCTGGTGGAGATTACAACAACAGGACAGTGTGATACCGCACCTTTTGAAGAAGACCCTTCTGTTCGGACAGGAGTAGAAGCGGAGGATGAGTTCTATGGTGAACCAGCAGATACAGACGGTCTCCAGGAGGAAGAACGGGTCGTCCTTATACGGGTCTCCTGTCTCCATCTCTTCCTCCAGTCTGCTCTGTAGTCAAGGACATTCAATGCAATTTCAGGGTAGGAAAACAAAATAAACCAATAATATTATGTCATGGTACTTTACACGACTTTCCTCAGTCAACTAAACATGAGTATTGTCCTGTCCTGTCCTGTATTTGTCCTCTCGTTTGTTGGTGGCTTAAAATAAGTTGATATTAATATAATTTGAGTGAGCAGTCACCATGTCCAGTCATGAAATGTTGAAAAAAAATCTGTCTGATATTGACATGTACTGCCATTTCAAACATTTTTGTCATCATTTCATATTCGTAATACTTGAAATAGCCCAGGAACAAGCGACGTGAGGAGTCCCTTTTTTTGTTTTTTTTTTCTTTGGTACCACTGCTTTCAAACCCCAAAAGCTTAGATTGTATTCCGCAGCAAATCTTAGAGTAGTACTTTGTTCCACTTGTCAAATCTCTTAACTTGCACTGTCTGTATAACGTATACTCTACCTATGCATTCTTTCATGTTGCAATTAGCCCTAGGGCATAACTTACAAATAAGAAAATTGTAATAATACCAGTATATCCGATCGGTTAAATGGGAGGCAATTATATATATTTACAAGGTATACTCAAATAAATGGTAGTGCTACCCTTGTCCCAATACTTTGTTACAATTGTATGCAAGATGACTACACTTGCGAATTCGAAGTGCTTATTTTGAATCTGTGACTTTATCCTTGTGAAGTACATGAAGTAAAAGACAACACTATCTATTTCTTTTATAGTTTCAAGAAAGGATTTTATTTATACTTAAAACAATTTTTTTTTCTGTAAAACTGTCATTAGCTACAATTCACTGATTATTAATAAATCTTACCCAAGCTTCATGTGAAGAGTAGGTTGAGTTTTTCCGTTTTTCAGCGTCGTGTCTGGCTTTATCCTTATGAAACACGGGCAGGGTCTCCAAACACAGCCCGATGATGGAGACAAGAATGAACGTTATCGAGACCACCGCAATGAACGTGGCCGCCTTGGAGCTGTTGGAGTGCTCAAAAAGCAGCCAGATCGTCCGCTTCAACTTCTGACTTTCCGGCGGAAGAGGGTGTTGCTTCCTGGGCACGTAGCCCTGCTCTCGCAAGTATCCTTCCATAACATCCTTTCCGAGATCGTAGAACTTGAGTTCTTCTATGAAAGTGTCCATGGGCACCTCCTCGGGCTTCTGTAGCGTCCCGCTGCTGTGATAGAAGTGGAAGACCGCCTCGGCGGTCGGCCTGTGTCGGTCGAGAAAGTATTCCCGTCGTACCGGGTCGTAGTACTTCGCTCGTCGCTTGGGGCTGCCCAGTAGAGTGCCCGGGTACTGGTCCAACTTACAGCAACAGATCGCAAACTTCAGTCCCGACACGTTGATCCTAAGGATATGCCGATGCGAAGACATTTCTGCCTGCTACCGGACTGTCTAGTTCTAGTACAAAAAAGAAGAATAAAAGCCTTGCCTGCGTTGTCTTCCGTTCTAGCAGTCTTCTGTTCAGACACACTAACTCAGCGAGAGTAGTTGACAACAATACTGCAGCAGCCCGAGGCCAAAAATCCATTCAATCGCGCACATTGTTCACCACTGGCTCAAAGAACACAACAGCATCCGCTTTTCTGTCGCAGAAATCACACACTCTTGGAAAAGGAGGATCCTCTTTGTGCTATCTCGTATCCCTCGAAAAGTTCGACATAGATTTAAACATGGTAACGCGCTGTTATTGTACTTAAGCCCCGGACGACAGGACAACGTGGATCACACAGCTAAGGGATGCACTATGCAAGACCAGTTGGACGGGTTTGGGCGATACCACTGAAGTTAGAGAGTGGGGGTTTGTTTGACATTACTGCTCGCATGAATACTTAAGTAAATAAAATGAAACCATTTATTGACAGTGCCAATACGATCTTTATACCTTAAAACGTATCAAACCATTCACACTATTTACTGAAAAACACAGAATGTGTAAATGTAGGAAAACAGACTCGAATTCAAAGTCTTTCCGTTAATCTGGGTTAAAATTATGTATGCTGGACGTGTCTTTAGTGAAATAACGCTTGTGACAGGGAAGCAAACATTCTAACCAGCTGTTGTATGTTGTGGCACTGTGAAAGAATGCCGGAACATGAACGCAAACCTCTAGGTAGACATCTCAAAGATACAATGGCTGGATAGATCACGACTTTTGAAACGTGTCGGGGTTGTTTATTTCTTCACAGGTGGTTAGAGACGCACCTATGCACGCTTCCGACATGGTTTCTCCCGGGTCACCTAATAGGGCAGTTGTAATTGTTGCAAGGTCGGGCTCTTCTAGTCTCTTCACCGCAGGCAGAACGTGCTCTGTTTCTGAGAGCTTTGTTTGGCATTTCTGTAGCCACGTTTAAGTGGTGCTTTCATTTGCATTTGAACTTTTTTTGAGATATTGATCGATATAAAGTGGCTCTGTGAAAACAAGCTGCCAGGGAACCAAAAATCTAATCATTTTGAGTTCTCGTCATAAAGACCTATTCACATACCTAATACCAAGACAATTAACCAAACCTATTTGAATTGCCGTGACAAATCGCAGACAAACACACACACACACACACACACACACACACACACACACACACACACACACACACACACACACACACACACACACACACACACACACACACACACACACACACACACACACACACACACACACACACACACACACACACACACACACACACTCACTACACACACACACACACACACACACACACACACACACACACACACACACACACACACACACACATTTAAAAGAAACAAATGTGTAACATTGTATGTGCTTTACTTATTCATGTCCCTCGCGTCCTTCAGTAGGCCTTGTTTGAACTTCTCATGTGATGACACTGTTTGTAACCCATGTGGTAGAGAGTTCCATGCTGCAGTAGTTCTGTATGTGAAGGCTTTTTTAGTGCTGTGTGTTGATCGTGATATTACATAAGGCCCTAATCAAGTTAATATTCAACTCTTGTCAGCCCCATTCTTTGTCCACGCCCCCCGCCTGACAGGTACCTGATAGCGGTGCCAAGTTCTGTGCACTTTAGATCTGTGGACCTTACTCACAAAGGTAGCAGGAGTCAACACAATACAATGCAATGTACACAAGGTTGATGATTAATTTGTTTTCATCCGACTAGTCTACAGCCCACGTGCTTCTTAATTAAGCGATACATAACCTAATGCATTCATCAAGTTCAGTTTACTGGGTGTATTGCTTCCGTTTAAATACTCCAAATGCATGTTGTCAAATGCGGAGAAAATAGAAAACCAATATAGTTATGTAAATATAAACGGTATTAAAAAGAAGCTTAAGGGTTTTCATTTCAGTCCTCTCTTTTTCTCTCTTAGTTGATATTTCATTGCTTTGCTTAAACACTGTCCAAACTGTTTTGCTAGCCTATGTGGACAAGAAGAGAAATCAGGACACTTGGTTTTATCCAAATATTTGCATACGTCATTGTTTTATTGGTCGTCTCGACCTGTACCGGCCCGGGTGTTCACTCACTACAGAGATTGTTGTTGCCAACAGTAGTACAGTACTAATGCATGCCTTTGGTGGACAGCTATTTTGAAACTTCCAGACAATTCTACTAGATTATTTTGCACGTGTTTTGTGTAACGCTGCCACCACGGTGGGTGTGTAGTATTTTGTCTTTAAAACTGGGCTAGCTGTAGGAAAACTTCCAAAATGGTTGACTTCGACCAGTCGATGAAACACATAGGTTCCTACGGGAAGTTCCAGCGGATGACTTACTACATGTGCCTATTGGTCGGCATCACTACGCCATTCCACCAGCTCGGGAGCACATTTCTAGACGCCGAGACGGACTTCCACTGTGCGGTCCCTGAGACGGAGGATTCGGGGCTGCCGTCCAACTACACCGACTGTGTCTTAAACTATTCCTTACCGATAGAACGGACGTCTTCTGGGACAGGTTGGCGGTATAGTGGGTGTACAAGGTAGGCCAGTCTTATAACAATCTATTGTTGTGTACACTTGTCAGACTTTTTCCATGCCAATATCTTTGGCGGACGCTTTTAATGAGTATATGACAAATCTAATGCTTCGGCTTGTTTTAGGCATTTTTATCGGGGGTTTCTTCTTTTTTTTGCACTGGTATTTTTTCGCTGTCCTACCAATGACACTGCCATCCAATTTAATACTGACTTTGCCAATTGGATTTCAGGTACGTGGTGACACGATATGAGATCGGCAACCTGTCGTGCCCTTACCCCGCCCACAACAGGACAACAGACGACAGACTCACACAGTCGTGCGACCACGGCTACTGGTACGACACCAGACAGTACAAGAGCAGCATCTTTACCGAGGTAACTGCTTAGCAGAGATGGCACGCTGGTCTGCGTCCAACAAAGCCAAGTAGAGTGGTTTATGTACAGTTTGGTGAACCTTAATCCTAAGGGTCGACTACTGTATGCATGGTTTTTGATAATTTTGGTTGTCCTTTCATCATAAAAGGATACTACTTTAAAATGTGGATTCCAAATTGGGCTTTATGCAGGGATACAATAATATTGCATGATTACCGGATGAGAGTTTGACATGTAACGTAACACAGGCAAGACGACTGTTTGGATGATGTAAAACAAGGTATATGTATGATCAATGATTGAAAGGTCGCTGTTTAAGGGTCAGAAGTGTCAACGTCCATGCCCCTGTGTGTTCAATGGTGAATGTTTTACAGTGTCAGTGTACTTACGGCTATATGTAGACCTTTGTATGACAACTGTATTTGCGGCATTCAAAAGGACGTCCGTCTTTGAAAGGTTGATTAAGCACGTGACGAGTTTTGTTGATCCCAGAACATCAGTGATATGGTCGTGTTTATCTCTTGTCAAAACGCCTGTACTGCGAAGCTCTAGTAATGTACATCTAGAAATTTAATTATTGAGGACCCTGTTTAAGTCCCTCTTGTTCTATAATACATGAATAAACGTCTTTTTGTCCATGTTTCGTTGCGCCAATTGTTGTTACAATGTGTTTTGAAAAGTTAGACATTTTGTTCTAATCGCGCCCTAGATTTGGATATATCTAATACAAGTAAAACTTTATCAACTGATGAAGCACATTTTCTCAAACTAGTTCAACCTGGTGTGTGACGACTACTGGTTGAACAGCCTGTCCCAGTCTATCTACATGTGTGGTGTTCTGATCGGGGCTATTGGCTTCGGACAGCTGGCAGACTTGTATGTGTTTACAGATTATTTTGCAAAATCACTCAGACATACATGAATAGTTTCACGCATGTTACCTAGCTTCAGTGGAGTGCACAGTGAACCAGTAACACCTAGTGTCAGTGCACAGTGAACCAGTAACACCTAGTGTCAGTGCACAGTGAACCAGTAACACCTAGTGTCAGTGCACAGTAAACCAGTTATTTCCTCCCTGCCATCGAAACGTCGGCTCTTATTAAAATGTGGTTGTGAACAGGGAACGTTCAGTCATTTAGACATGGCAATTCAATCATTTAGACATAGCAATTCAATCATTTAGACATGGCAATTCAATCACTTAGACATGGCAATTCAATCACTTAGACATGGCAATTCAATCACTTAGACATGGCAAATAGCATAGCTAGTCTAGTCCATTATTATGATTACACATTTCAGCCAGCCTTCTTAGTTGGCTTCCTCCCCCCGGGGCCCCCTCGACAAAAAAATTGTGTCGCTTAGAAGCAAGATGTTTGCGCCAAAAAGTAGTTACTCAAGCAACTGGATATGATTTTACAAAATCATATCCAGTTGCTTGAGCTGCTTTTTGGCGTATTGTATTACCTGGATGTCTAACCTTCATCGACGCAACAGATGTTTGTTTTATGAAATCGTGACGCTCCCTTAGCTCACAATCTTCTGGTTTTTTTCTCAGCATCGGCAGGAAGAAAACCATCTTCATCAGCCTTTTCCTGATGATCGTGTTCGGTGCGATCGTGACCGTCGCCCCGAACTATACAGTCTTCGTCATCGCTCGGCTTCTGGTCGGGACTACAGTGTCGGGAATATTCCTCTCCGCTTTTGTTATCGGTAAGTTAAATTTGCATCGTGTATCATGGTGTGGTGTTTGGCCTAGAACTGATGGGTCCTGTGTTCAAATCCACCAACATACCCCGATGCCATTGGGAAAAGCACTCGACACTACTTTCCTCACTTCACTTAGGTGTAAATGAGTAGCTTTGTATCCTGTACAAAAACCATGTTCTGTTATATTGTACGTAGAATTTTCTATGTACTTGTACTTGATTAGGTCTTCTCAGCTCGGCGAGTGGCCTGCGCCAAGTCAGTTCTCCGTGAACACAACGTCCTGTGCCATGTTTGTGTACAATATGCAAATCATAGTCTATACAATGTATTTTTCTAATATCTATCTCATTCCTTCTCGGACCAGGGACGGAGCTAACAGGCCCGGACATGCGCACATGGACAGCCACCCTGCCTCACGTCGCCTTCGCCACAGGGTACATGATCTACGCGCTCATGGCGTGGGGCATCCGGAACTGGCGACCGCTACAGCTCACCATGACCCTTCCTACTGTGTTTCTGCTCTTCAGTTGGCCGTAGGTCGCTAGTTTTTACCATCTCCATTCGCAAGCAGCGAGCACTGCTATGTGACTGTCAGCAACTGAACAGTTTCTGACAGTGTCATTTCAGTAAAGTAGCTTCATATAACGTTATATGGTAGCGAAACTCTCCAACTCTGTCCTGCAACTTGCTACATAACTAAACACCACAGGGTGTCCGCTACATCACCAGTTACCATGATGACAGACGTCTGGTCCAGGTCAATGACCTTATGTGTTTAGAGAAGAAAAACTAAACAGAGCAAAAGCGACCTCTTTTCCTACTGCGAAGGTAAACATAATAACTCTCTATTTTCTCCCTCTCTCTTATGCCGCAGATTTCTGATTGAGTCCCCAAGGTGGCTGATCTCCGTGGACAGACATGACGAAGCGGCCGCCATTGTGAAAAGGATTGCCAAGTTCAACGGTGTGACCGTGCCAGAGGACGTGCTGAACTACAGGAACGAGAAGAAAAAGGTACAGTGAATGAATGTTCTGTAATGTACTGTACCAGACTTGTAAGTAAGCTCATTCAGAAGTGTGGTCGAAAGTTTCAGCACCAAGGACAGGAATGGATGTGTGCAGATGTCATATGCATATATGTAATCTTTGTCAGGGGTTGAAAGTTGTTAAGTTTGATAAGATTGGACATAAATTGTTTCTATTGTTTCAAGGTTCATTTTTTTTCTTTTAAAGAACGATCGGAGGTACACTGCCATTGACCTACTGCGCACACGCAACCTGTTGATACGGAACCTCAATCTGTTCTATCAATGGTGAGTGTTCGTTTTATGATGCGAAAATATTATTGAGCTATCATACTCATATCTGCGTAATTTTTATAGCCTATACAGCAGTCTTCCTGTGCTGACCCAAAGCAACACTTCGGCAGAACATATCGTTTAAGGTCGTATCTAATGATGACTTCCAGTGTATAGTTTCAAATGTTGTGTCAGAAAATATATCATCTGCAACGGGCAAAATTCTGATGCAACGTTGACCAAATGTCCAACGAAAACCGTGAAAAGAAATTGTTCTGCCGACGTGCTCCTCTCATCCATGTTCCATCTGTTCTCTCCAGGTTTGTGACCTCTATGGTGTTCTACGGCCTGTCCCTGAACACGTCCTCTCTGCCCGGTATAGACGACTATGTCGCCTTCTTCCTCGGAGGTTTTGTGGAAATCCCGGGACTCTTCAGTTCCTACTACTTACTTGACATCCTCGGTCGGTAAGCACGAACCTCTTTGTTTGTGAATCATAAGTTTTTTTTTGTTTTGTTTTATTAGGCCACACCAAGTAAATTTTATGGATGACGTCCGTTGGAGACCCTAAATCTAATGCGAGAGGGCGAAAAAAAACAAGAAGGGCCCTAAAAAACAAGATGCCTAGATTAGAAATATACTAAGAGACGACAAATGTTAGGACACAAATTGAATAAGGTGACACAGTGTAACAAGCAAGTCTTTTATAATATTATTCAGCATCAAAACAGCAATAAATCAGGTGGAACAGCAGTTGTCGTCCTGCCCTGTTTTCGCGTTACAGGTTTCACGTCAATCTGACGATTTGCGGCACTGTCATGACTCTTTGGTCATAGTTACAGGAAGCAGAATTTCTTGTTTTTTTTTCTAGGAACAGGCGAAAATCAATGCACGCGCGGACGTCATCCATAAAATTTACTTGGTGTGGCCTTAAGTCCATTGGATGCCCTTGTCGTGTTCCAAACCATATCTATCTAGTTCTATGCCTGAATGGGTTAGGGTTAGGATTAGGCATGGTTCTGGATAACCGTGGGTACGGTTCTGGACTATCCAGAACATGTCTGAGAATGATTCTGGATACAACAGTTCTCACGCCCTGAATGCTTACAGAAACTTATAATTATAATTAATTACTTACCTCACTTGATCATGATGCCTCTTAATATTCTGGACGTGGTTAGACGCATCAGATCTACATTTTAGCAAGAAATAAGTGCGTTTAAAGGTACAAATCTACGAAGTCCATAAATACATTTTGCAAGTTCATGTGTTTTCTACTACCTTATGCCATGTTGATTTGATTATATGGATGACATCCGCGCGCGCATGAATTTTCGGCCGTTTCCAAAAAAAAAATTCAACCATACTGTAAATCGTACAAAACAGTTGCAAAATGAGCAAAAATATACCGTAAGTTACAAAAAAATAAGTAAAAACTATACCAATGTCGTAGAATGCCAAAATCAAACGAAAAAAGACGAAATTGTTAGGAAATGAACTTGAAGATTAGATTATTCGCCAAACCATATTCTGTCCCATTTGTTCAACCCTCATGACCACGTAGATTTCATAATGAAAACAACTTTTTTTTTTTTGCAAAACTTTTTTTATTCGCACGCGCGCATCAGTTTTGGGGCTCCCGGAGGATGTCATCCATAGAATCAAATCAACATTATGCATTTGCAGGCCGAAGTGTCAGTGCCTGTACATGACGGTAGGGGGCATTGCCTGCATCATCAGTCCCTTCCTGGCACCACCGTATGTTCCAGAGCGTAAGTACTGGTTAGCTTTTCGTGTACGTACTTGAAAGATAGCAAATAACTGTAAAATAGTCAATACGTGTACTATGCACATGAGCTGCAACTCTATAACAATGCATTATCGATTCTACTGGCCATAAGAAGTGTTTCCTACATACAACTGCACATTTTGTCATATTCTGACTACGCGATGTTGCTTAAAACTGCATACATTAAGAGGCTTGAAATTTTTCACTTCAACAGTATCTAATATTGAATGCTGAATTGTCATTATCTATTATTTATCTGTATTATCATTTGCATATGATCTCAGACCTGGCGCCTTTGTCTATCGCGCTGGCGATGTTGGGGAAACTTTCCATCTCTGCCTGCTTCAACATCAGCTACATCATGTCTGCTGAGCTCAACCCAACCATTCTCAGGTGAGAACACATCACGGCATTTAGTAAAGCCCCTGGCCTCCATAACACTGCCGAACTCCCCCCAACCATGGTAAGGAATTTATAGGTCGGAAGCAAGTTCGGCTGTGGTTGGCTGGTGTTCGGCGAGGTCGGCTACTGTTCGGCGGTACCAGCCGATTGTTTCAAAACGTTTAAAACATTCGGAAGGAAGGTGCGGCCATTGTGGTTGGCTAGCGTACGTGAGTAGGTCATCAGTATGCGGGAGACAAATTTGGCTCAAATTTAACTCAAATTCGATTCAATTGGTATGTGATTAAGGTAGGCGTGGCCTAAATCTGGTCAGATTGCCCTGAACTTCAGCCAATCTTGGTTGATTGGTGGTCGCGGAAAGGTTCTGAATGCATGTGTTACAGGGGCTTAACACAAAACAACCTGTTAATTAGGATTGCACAATTTTATCCCTTGCACACTTTTATAATTTGGGTTCAAGATAATATCACAAAGATAGATGCCATGCCGATATGCATATTTTCCCAGGAACGTCGCCGTGGGTGCCGGGTCCATGTGGGCGCGTATCGGCGGCGTGGTCTCGCCGTTCGTGGTCTACTCCAAGCAGCTGTGGCTGCCTCTCCCGTTCGCTATCTTCGGCGGATGTGCCGTTCTGGCCGGAGCTATCGCCTTGTTCTTGCCCGAGACGATGGGTGCTGACCTACCCGAGACAACAGAGGAGGCGGAGAATTTTGGGACGTAAGTTTGGTTTAATAGCAAAGTTCTTTATTGACAATCACTGGTTTGCAAGTTTGACGAAAAAGTTCAATCTCTGTTTTTTATTCGGTACTTAGATTAATACAGTGTTTTGATAATAGACATTTAGTATTCAGCGTTATAGTGTAGCAATTTAACAATAGACTTTTAGTATTTAGAGTTATAGTGAACCATATTAGTGTTCCATGCTTTATACTTTACATCCTTATAAGACCACATACATGTGGCCATATGTGCATTAATCCATCTGGGCAGAAAGATGCAGTAAAGAATTACATTATTATTATTATCATCATAATTTCAGTAAGAGAAAGCCGAGGTCGGTCTACCTGTCTGATATTGAGAAGCACGGCGAGGCGCATCAGAACAGCGCCTATCAGGAGGAAGAGAACGCTGGTGAAAAGACGGACGACAGCGCACGTGATGACCTCTCCGACGACACAGCATTGTAATCAATTGTAACTGTCTAAAATCTGTAACCTGGGTGCCATCTATTTTGTAACGCGGCTCATTGCGCTCGCTATCCCATTTTTTCGGGGTAGCGAGTGCAAGGAGCCCCGTTACAAGACGGATAGCACCCAGGCTAACCTTATTGCACAACAATTGCAATGTACAAAGTACAAAGTATGGCATCTACTGGTACATAGCTACAGTTCCGTATGGGATTAGAATATTTTTTTTCCATCATGTTCAACGTTCTTTTACGATGTAGCGTCTGCTTTTCCAAAGTTTTAGAATTTCCTTATATACTTATATGTTTGTTATATAATTTTTAATACACGATTATTGATTTTTAAAACTAGCTTCAGAACAATCTCTGAACGGCATAGTGTATTATATAATGTAATGGATGATTCAAGCACATTCACGGATATAGCTCCCTTGATTTACGTTTAATGTTATACTAACTGTAGGGTATTTTTCACTTTAACATGTCACTATATCGTATATGATGCATCTAAGAGGGTTATTCGACAATCGTGCTTGGTTCTTTTTATAAAAAATAAATCAATTTATATCAGTGTACATCCTATATCTATCAATATGTCAGTCTTTATGCATCTATTAAACCTCCTAAGAACAAAGACTTGTTTGGTACATTGTGTTCTGTGTTTTAATTCTTATTACCAGCTTCGTATTCCTCTTTTTCAACTCTGCCACTTGCTACATAATGTAATCGGACACCAGTTACCATGGTAACAGCCGTCTGGGCAAGGTCACTTACCTCATCAAGTTGTTGAAATCGAAAAATATTTTCCCTCTGATAAAACGTTTCTCTTATTAGCTGATATTTAGCTCCGGCTAATTTCAGTACAAAAATGTACTTTATTTCAAGTGTTTAATTGTATTTACTAGTAACTGTTATAGTATGTAACGTCACAATGCTTTTTATAGGCCTTTCGAAGTGGTGCAGTCTTTCATTTAGCTACTTAGCGACGGTCTTTCTTCCAAGATATAATTCTGGAGGGAAAAAAGTCATGCAGCCCTCTGTTGCTGAGGGGCGTAGGTCACAAAAACTTCGTAGGCGGAAAACGTTACATTTTTCTCTCCCAACATCTGCTTGAATTCATGCTCCACCTATATGACCTCTGACCCCGTGACGTCATACAACATGGCACCCACGGGGCACACCTATTTCCGTGTTTGGACCAAAGTTTCCCCCCAAATCACGAACATTCTTCACTTTTCCAACCGACAAGAACCGCACAACAACTCCTAGATGCCTGCTTCTCCCGAGATCGCAAGTTTGGGTTAAGGTTTGTGCGTTTAACAACTTTGATCGTGGGAACTTTGTTGGTTACGCAGGTGAGGTCTTTGATGCATGAAAAAAAAAGGGTGTGAAAAATGCGAACAATGCAAAATCAGTTAGGCAGTCTTTTACAACATTACGGTGTGTGGTTTGTAGTGTACACATGTAGATATGCAGGTATTCTGTCTTTAGGAAGTGGTATAAGCTTTCTCCTGCGAAAGGTTGGATAATCGGGTCATAAAGTTTTGAATGTTGAAACAGAGTAAGTTAACGTCACTTTTTTAGTACCATTTTTTAACGTTCGGATTAAATGTTGGCCATCAAAACCAAAATAGATCTATAACCAAAGTATGTTATTGCTTCTATCAGTTCTATTACATCAATATGATTTTATAATCATAAATTGACTGAATTTCAGAAAGAGACGTTAAGAAATATAAATATCTGTAACGTTACAGCGATGAAGGTTAGACATCCAGGTAATGAGATACTCAAGAAAACGGTTACTCAAGCAACTTGATAGATTTTGAAAACTATGAAAAGCTGGCAGTTTTAAAAATCTATGTCCCGTTGCTTAAGTAACATTTTTATTGTGTATAAACACATTTACAAGTTTGACAGTGTAAAATAATACCAAAGGAATTAAGGAATTGTTTTTTTTTGCCATTGAATAATTATCAAATGTTGTTTCCATCTTTCCCCAAGTTCTTAATTATCAAGGGAAGCAGTTTAGAGTCTGACTTCCGCATTTCCAGACTGAAGTATCTGAACAGCCTGAATTCCACACCACTCAGGAACATTCCCACCATTCCATCTGGGATCTGAGGGGATCTTACATCGTTTGGATTTAGACTTAAGGTAAGTGGTGGACGTGCCTGACAGATTCAATATCTGGATCTTTTGTAGGTCATTAACCCCTTTTTTTCTCTATTCTGTGAATTGCAGATAAAACTAGAATTTTAAAACAATTTTTAGCTGTTACTACAAAATGTGGCAAAAGTGGCAAAGCCACATTGCACTTAAAGTAGCCATAGATCATGTACTTGTAAAACTAAAAGCATGATGCTTCACCTCGGTTGAAGATTACTGTTTTACCTACTTTTACAATGTCCTTGTGTATTACTATTAGACTATTAGTAAGTAGACAGTCTGTTCAAGTTCTGCTAGGGGGTGTATCTGCAATATTGTCTGCCAAAACAGACCAGGAGTTGGGGCCAGAAAAGGGGGGGGGTGTGATCATTTAAGCCCATGCATGTTTCCAGGTGGGCCCGGGGTTTTTGTGGTATTCTCTATTCTGGCCCACTAGTAGTACAATTGCAGTAAGGTCTAAATCGCTTTTTCCCACTGGAGATTAAGTATAATTCTTGGCTGGGGACTGGCAGATTTACTTTTGTAAGTTGATAAAAGTTCTGAGCTACATTAAAAATTTTGTTTAGTACGTACTTGCTTTTGTATAATTTAGCTTAAGACAATACTGGGAATAAAATTCTAAAGAATCTGATGCAGTTAAAATTTTAGCTTAAACATAATTACTACTTACTAGTACATATAGTACCAGGAAGTCAAAGTATGTACATACCTTACAAGTGTAAGTTGTATGTGTATACATACATGTATTTTGTGGGTACTTCAAGCAACTTTTAAACAATGAGTTACACCCATATGTCGCGATAGTTACACTGATTTTCCAAAAGTCTCTACAATAGTACCAGAAGTTTTTTGAAAACTTTCACAAGTTACTTGTAATGGCACATCCCAATTTAAGAAAAAATACCCAATAAAGGCATATTGTCTTGTATGCAGAGAATCAGAATCAGAGCACCTCTAAGACTAAGAGTGCATCTTCTAGCTTGTTTGTGTTTAGAGAGCCACAAACACCCCAGAATATTGTTGACCAACTGGGCAACGTTCAAACACCAGTAATGACAAAGGCGCATCCTCCCGTGTACTTGCAACATGGCTGGCATACCATTGGTTCCCCTAAAACCAGTCACAGCCGTAAATAGAAAGCGCTGGGCCATGTCTAGACGACAGAGTATTTAGTGGCCACAAGTATTGAGTTTACATTCTATGAGGGAGCTATGGACTTCCGAATGCCAATGTCCTTCCCAGGTAATGTGTGTCTTATATCTAGATCTTCTGAAGCTGTGTGTGGATTTTGTAAGGTAATCTGTTTGTGTATTCAGTTGTTCTGGGTTTGATCTTTTTATTTTCTTTACTATAAGCGCGTTGTATGTGGAGTCAGCGGTTCATGTGGCACGTTGTAATTCAAAGTCTCTGAGTATGTATTTTAGGACCAAAGGCGGGTTTCAGATGTCAGCATTACATAATTTACAAGCACTATTCAAGTTGGCTCAATGTCAGAGGCTATATAGTTCTCTATCATTCTATAGCTAATGTCCGTTCAATGTAGTCCAGAAAAGCTAGTGGGACTGAGAAATAATGGACAAATCAGGACAATTTCTTCATTTTAAATTTCCTATTCTTTCAACATCTCTAATGCATTAAACAGAATTCTTACTAGTTGTACATGACAATGTAATAAAATGAATGTATAGATGTGTCAATCTGTAATGCATTCTGTAATCTTACATTTGCAGCAAAGTGGGCAAAACAAAATTATTGTTAGTGTTCTATCATCATGTGAACATATTTTGTAACAAATTTCGTAAGCAGTAGTATGCATTTCTCAAAATTACTTGGCATAAGCTCATTTGCATTGACTTTTTTTATTATATTACATTGTAGATTGTATATCAATTATATATTGGCATTTGATGGGAAATTTATCTGGTATTATAAATAAACACAGTGTCAAGAAGACAAAATGATTTAAATTCAAAGAATAGCTCCGCACATTTAGCAACATTGATGTAGAATTTCAGAACTCTGTAACAGACTGGAACTTTGGTTCCTGCTATGTGAACTGTGGACAGTGTTGGCACTTGTAAGATAACCACACTGCTGACCCTCTGACCCAGGTCTGTAAATATAGGATGTTTGCTCCTTGCAATATTGTTTGTGGTTTGGTGCAAATGTGTCATCAGATGGCATATTGTAGGCATACATGATAGGCATAAATGAACGAGTCTGTGATATTATGATTGTTCTTTTTCTAACAAAAAAAGTCACCTAGTCACTGTACAATTATTTATTATCTCATGGGTTGAATGTCATCATAAAAGTAAAATTGTTTTGTTTTTCAGAATTATATATTTTACCTATTTTTTCCTCCAAATTCTTACACTTCAGCAACATGTACCCCAAGGCAATGATGGTTTTGGTTTGGCTTTGTATATATTTTGTGTTAATTAAGAGAAGTTGTGAAACAGCAGAGGCAGCAAGGATGCTAGAAGTTATACATTCATATTTTTCATGCTAGACTACATTCATTTTCTTCAAATCGTTATCGACAAATCAGCTGTCTGAGTACTTTTATGGCCTGTTCCTGGATAGTGTAATTTCAGAGCATGGCTAGACATGGTGGAGACAGTGCTAACATGTCAGAAGACAGATGACCAACAGCTGGTCCACATCCCTTATCCCTTATCCTCTTCACCCTGTGCACCTCGCACTGTATTTCAGCAAAGCTATGGAAGGATTGGGATCAACATTTGGGCAGATTTTCAGTTTCTTTTATCTGATATGTAATACATGCTTACTATTATTATGATATAGATTCTGTCTGTATCCCTTAGTCTAACTATTTGACCGTTGGGGCACCATAGTTGACCTGAAAACCAGTTCTCTCCACCCTTTTCCTGTTTCATTTCACTTCTAATGTCATGCTGGTCCATTCTCTACTGTTATCCTCCCTCCTTTCCATTGCCCTATCACTGTCAGATTCTTCTATTTCTTAAAAGCATTATACCCCTTGCATGAATTGCAGATCAAGAAGTTCCATCTTTAAACTTGTAAATTGGAGAGAATACTGTACACAGGACGATGTCAGTCCATCAGACTCATGTAGCCTTTTCAAGCCTTATTTTAGGGCCCTCTTGAACCCTGACCCAGGCCCTATTACCCTGTTGAATTTGACATCAGTGACACGGTTGTAACCCGACTCCTGGCCAAGCCTTATTCTTGGAAATTAGTTTGGAATGGCAATAAAACATAGTTGTAGTCCATTTCCTAGGGTATCACATATAGTAAGTTATATGAATAGGTGTTTTCGTACATAGTACACGTGGTTGTTTATGTCAAAAGGCCATACTGACTGAATTCTATATTGAAAGGACATTCTCGGTCCACCCCAAAACACACACGTGGTTGGAGAAAACTTCGGCACTATTTTGGCAACCACTAACATTAGCAACCCTTGTTCTTAACTACGTACCCATTGATAAAATTTTGAAATGAAACCTAAGCCAAAGGATGAGACTTTCCCATATAAAATATATGTAATTTGAGTTGAGTTGAGAACCATAAATCAAAATAGATTATGCTAATTATAACTAAACGAAAAAGAATCTTTACAAAAGCTCTAAATTTTTCATGGCACTATGAGCTTAACGTTCCCAAATTCTTGTGTACATCAATGACTTATTTCCAGAAGGTAGAGAAAAGTGAATATAAGAAAGTTAACTGTCAGCCTACAAGACTGTAGGAACAAGAAATTTCAGTGATTTGCGTAGAGCTGAGCTGTCGGATGATGACTTTTTGCCCCGTATCCCCACATCAGCATACCTGCCCGTTATATACAGTGTGATATATTTGGTCGGGTCACTTCTGTTGAACCTTCCCTGCTGGGACCGGGGCTGACCTCTATGGAAAGGTCAAGGAAGTTCAAGTTCACGATGTGTTCTAAATTTTCAAAGGTCACGAGAATCTCCTTCTCTTTCCAAGGTCAATTTTCTTTCACCACGAGAAAGGTGTTGAGTTAGCAATGCATGAATTATGCAAATCCAAATGATTTAAGAAGACGTTGTAAATTAACGATATACAGTACATATAAATCACATGACCTTGTCACCTTGAATATGTAAAACGGATATAGCAAAAAATGTATCCAAGCAGGGTTTTTTAAGCTGGTGGTTAGGTTTGCTGATTCTCTGATGTTTTTACAAATATTACAGTCATTGTGATCTTAAATTTCATTTGTGAGCAATTAACAGTGATGCCAGAGAGCCACGTGGCTCTTGCAACGACACTAACGATGGGTTCACCGCGGCAGACAGATATGATGTACGTGTAATTTGACACCCTCGCTGACCAGAATATCACCCTGCACCCAGACACGGAACATTCCATCCCTCTTCTGGGGGAGACAGCACGCCCCCTGTACTGGGTCGTCTTTCCTCACAGCTTTCCTGCACAAACAAATTTATCCCTCCAAAAGTCATACAATAACATGATTGAGCCGCTGTCATAACTACTTCACATGGGGCTAGAATTTTCCACGCTAAACGGATCCCCCTTTGTGTTGATATTATGCAAATGAGATGTAAATGAGGGCTGAGTAATGGGGTGATCAGGTGCTGATGTGATGGTAATTCTCAGCCTCCCCACTTTACTGTGGCTGGTGAGGTCATGGCTGTGCCGGAGGGGGAATTAGCACGTCATAAGGGGATTTGGGAACAAAGTAACGTCGCTATCAGCGCGTCCCAGTCCGAAGTCAACCTGTGGACAAAGGCAGAAGGGATCTGGGTGGAGTGTAATACATGGTTGGAGGCTGCCAACAAGAACGTGTTTGGTAAAAAAAGCCAGGCCGGGTGCTGGAGTTGTGTCCCCATCTCGGATGTAGCCTACACAGACAGTGTTTCAGACAAGACTGACACCTCCAATGGATTAACTTCTGATTCGAGGAGCTGGGACGAGCCACTGCCTCGTGTGAACGGAGTCACAACCTTCAAGAGAAATGGTGAAGAAGACGTCACTAGTACTGCACTACGATCAAAGGACCTACATCACGTGCCAATAGATCTAGATGTGGACAGTAACTATAACCTTCAATGGAAACCTGCAGATAGAGGGCCACAGCAGAGGGACAGACTATCATCAAAAGTGAAGACTACAGAGAGATATTCCACTGGGAATGACTGCAGCATATATAAACCTTCTATAAATAACAGTTGTACAGCCAGCAGTAGAACTGAGGCAGTAGATGTCAAAGCTGACGGTTCGCTGAATGAAATCAGTACAAGAAGCACTTCTGTCAAAGCCTGCATAGAGCTCTTCAATAGAAGATCAGCAGAGATAGAACAGCCTCCTCAAATCCAGCATCAAAAACCACACAATACAGGATCTAACAACAGCAATACAAGGGATCACCGTGTACAGGCCAACTCAATAGACAAGAACTCAAATTACTGTCCGTCGGCACAAAAGATCCATCGGTCAAACCTCAGCAATGTGAATAAAACGCCAGACGGTACTAGAAGGGGTCAATCAAGAACAGGCTGCAAGATATATGACAGAGAGGTTGACAAAGGGTTTATTCCAGGGCACCAGAGTCTACGAAAGGGAAATTCTGGCAGTCTGTCTGTGTCTGAGTCAGGCAGGACAAGCATTAGAGTTGGGATTCGTAAGGAAAGTTCAACTGTCCAACAGAAATCGCGTATTGGATGTGGCGAACAGAAATCTCACCCAGATTCCAAACCAGACGTTGTAACCACAGTTATCAAACAGTCCTCTCCATTTGAACCTGACCCTGGTGAGTAGAGAATTTGAACAATGGATGATATTCTAGTCATTGATGTATAACTATAAGCTGGTGTCTGCTTACATGTACATGACAATGGCAATGAAGTTGATTGCATATTCATGCGCCACTGGGGCTAAATGCGGTAAGTTAGTAATAGGGAAACTATGCTACCAGTATGTTTTATATATACCTATAACCAAGGAGCTTCAACTTATATTATGCTTCTTTTGACCCTCTTCTTGAAACATGTTATAACAGACAAACTTTAACTGATCTGTTAAACCCAGAAACAATGGTGGCATGTCCTATGTCCTAGTTTTTGATTCTGTGTCTCTTTCAAAGTTTCATGTTGAAAAAAATATATGAATCTTTGTGGACCTTTGTGATCTTAATACTTCCTGCTCTTATCCATAAAGTCAATCATCAAAAATTGAATATACATGTGTACATGTTTTAGCTTGTTTTTTTAGCTTTTGTTTTATTGTTTTCTTGGCCATGTATTAGGCAGTGGTACTTATCCTAATAGGGCAATGAATAGTTATGAAGTCATTTTGTTCATGCCAGGAGGCATGTTTAAAACAGGTCTTTCTATTATCATCAACAGTTAGATACAATTACATGTACCTGCACCATTACACCTGCTCCTGTGTATAGTGTACATGTATGAGGTGATTAAATATTCATGAGGGAACCCCCAGTGAGGGTATGGAGCTCGGGGATATGCAAATGAGGCTCTTGTCCAATCAGTATTTACATGTAAGTAGAATGAGTCAGGACTGAGCGATGGTGTAAACGTGACATCAGTCTGCTCATGATATATCATCCATTCCCAGGAAAATCATTCAGGTTAGTTTTTAATTATACGGTCTGTTGCAAGAAACAAAGCATATATATATACAGCCCTTATTTATTACAGGCAAGTCAGGAGAACGTACAATGTATGCCTAGTATGTGAAACCCGTAATGTACTGTGCATAGCACTTCGGCATATTGTCTAAACCTCACAATCCATATTCTAAAAGCATGCTTAACTTCATATAGGTAATAGATATAGGACTGTAAGTTTCTGTCTTGCTGGCTTTCTGGATTTCTACCAAGTGTTCATATTTTTGCATAAAGATTCATATCATTAAATGTTATAGAATTGTGGAAAAATGCAGTTCTTACCCCTAAAATGAATTTCAATGGATTAGCCCTACCGGTAATATGTGCTCATATGATGACTCATAATAGCAGTGTATATGGATAAATACCAGGTCCTGTTCAACTATGTACAGATTCTGTTATTTACTGACGAAAAGCAGTGAACTACATGTACTTCTGACATATATGTTTCACAGTCTTCAAATCTATCCACAGTTTCTTGTAATGAGTTTTCTTGTGTATCTCATGATCTGGACATCTAACCTTCATCGACGTACATGCACCGAGTCATGATGGTAACCAGGCCATTTGGCTAGTTTAGAAAGGTAGCATTGGAAATAAGGTAGCAGGTAGACTTGAGAAACACCTGCACAGCTGAAAAATTGTACATGCACTAAGCTGCATATACAGGTGGGATTTCTAGTCCTGAAAACGATATTTTATTGAACTATGAATGATTGTCCGTTTTCTCTTCCAGGCTACACAATTGCAGACTATTGACAGGCTGTATCAAATCAATGATCCATTAGGCCACGATTTGGCTCAGGCAATAAAAAGTTTAAAAATGCATATGTTATTAATTTAGAATGAAGATTTTTCATTGGGTCAATCTGTTTTCTCTCCCATGCAGGGTACACGATTGCAGACTACAGACAGGCGCAGCGGCAGTTATCCAAGATGAACGGTGGTGGGGGGAAGCAGCGGCGGATCCAGCAGGCCCTGTTCATGAACGGCCACACCAGTAACATCCTGGAGAGTATGGTGGGGGTGGGGGACATGGTACTGCTGGATCCACTCACAGAGGAGGCCTGCATCAACAACCTGAAGAGGAGGTTCTACGCTGAAGACATCTATGTGAGTCTGTAATTCCTGATTTCTTCACTGTACTGTTATGTTCACTGTTTTCACTGTCACTTCTGTTCCATGAACTTATCATTACAGTTAACAAATAATCCCTGGACTTTCTCTTTCCTGTACCTGTCTCGACCGTGGATATAGTTCCGTGAACATGTCCATTTTTCTCAGACCGTGAACTTTTGCTACAGAGAACATAAAGTGAATTACAGTATACAGAAAGAGCACTACAGTGATATATAGAGGCATGCTTTAACTCTTTATCCCTTCATTGGGATATTCCTATCACATGCCTGGGGCAAATGTACATTTCGTGGAACTGTCAAGATACTTGATTCTAACCCTTAGACTCATTCAGGCATAAAACGAGATGGGAACAGTTCTGGATATGTTAACTACTTCATTCAAGTGTTAACTGGGGTTATCTCTTTGTTATATAATAAAGAGGAGTGCGGTATCTGTGACACATGCATGTACATGTACAATGTGTAGTACTAAGTCAACCCGTCATTGATCTACCCTGGAGTACAACTTCTGTTAACAGATAAACTTCTTACTTAGATTTTTACTGGATTTCTGGTACTTGTCTTCCCTTCAGACATACATTGGCCAGGTGGTGGTGTCAGTCAACCCTTACAAGAAGGTTCCCCTGTTCAGTCCCAGCACTATTCAGACCTACCGGGGCAGGAACTTGTACGAACTGCCACCACACATGTAAGTACATCTTAGAACCTAGTCTAGTGGTTTTGTTTGATTGGTCTGCATGGAACGATAAAACATGATACGGATCTTGATTTGTTTTGGCAAGAATGCTGAGTTTAACCATACTGCTATTCTTTGTCGGATAAGCTACAAAAGAACCTATTCAGGCAGAATTGCCAGGCCTATAATTATGTAGCTAAGCACTTAGGAAACTGTGCTGAAGTATAGAAATTATATATTATATAGACTAGTATTCTTTGTGAAGCAAATAAATTCTAAAGTCAATGGAATAAGCATTGTAGTTTAATGTTTGTAGCTTAGGATACTGACACCTGTAATATAGTACAGCTGATATATTAATTGTTATGTTTTGTTTGTAGATATGCCATAGCAGACGATGCCTACAGGTCCATGAGAGACAGGAACAGGGACCAGTGTGTCATCATCACGGGCGAGAGCGGGGCGGGGAAAACAGGTCGGACACGGCAGACTTCGCCTCCTTTCCCATGCTGCTTTGCAACCACTCCAGTCCCACAGGCAAAAGAAGTATCTTTTAGATAGATGTGGCAAAGCTGAAATATGTGCATGTTGGGAATTACAGAAATTAAGACACAAACTGTATTTTTTTGATAGTTTGAAGGTTTAGGTATTCAGAAGGATTATGAAAACTGATGTTACATGTCCATGCACTAGTAAAGAAATGTACATATTAAATGTATCAAGAAATGACATCTTTGTCCTTGCATATGTTTTGAACAGAGGCGAGTAAGATAGTGATGCAGTATGTAGCTGCAGTGTGTGGGAAGGGAGAGGAGGTGGACAGAGTGAAGGAACAGTTACTGCAGTCTAACCCGGTGTTGGAAGGTAAGTCCTTGTTTGACTGAAGATAGGAGAAGGTGTTGTATATGTATCCAGAACTGTGCTTCATCCAGGCATGGTTCTGGATAGCCCACTGATATCCACAACTGTGCCTGGGGCAAATCTACAAATGTACGTTCTTGGACATGTGGGTTCGGACACTATCCAGTATACAATAGAAGGGGCAAATCTTGGAATTTGTTATGGATGGGTGGAAGAAAAGTAAGCCAGGTTCCAGATTTATACATTAACTGTCTTTAAGAATTTATCAGTAAAGTTTTCTACATGATATTGTACAATGTATGTCCTTGGTGCTGAAATATGAGTCCAGCTGAATTCTCAGTCCTTTGGTTCTTTACATTGTTTGTCAATCTTGCTGCACAACCTTGTCCACTCATGAATATGCATATGAAAACTGTTAATGTTGTTAGGGTATGGTATTTTCTTCTAACACAACCAGTAAGGTTCTCACCTGCTTACGTTTCGATGTCTATCAGACACCTCCTCAGAGCTTCTGACTGGAGTTCTGCAACTCGCCGCTATTTAACGCCAAAGTAGGTGGCGCTTTTGCGGCGAGAATGCAATCCCAAACGTGGCTGAGCTTGTATCCCCCTAGTCCCGTACTGTTAATGTTGTTGTCTTTCCTTTTAGCTTTTGGGAATGCAAAAACCCTCAGGAATGACAACTCTTCCAGATTTGTAAGTATTTGAAGTTTTTTTTTCAAGTCCCCATTTGCTGAAGTTCTGAATCTCTACATTGTGTATAATTCTAAAATTCTAACTATTTTCATATTTTTTCCTTAGGGAAAGTACATGGATATAGAATTTGATTTCAAGGGAGACCCCATAGGTGGTGTCATTACAAACTGTAAGTTCTTATAATAGTATGATATTTACCTCGATATTCTATCGTCTAAAGAGTCTGTTACACAATTTTCCTTACATTTTATGCTCAATTCCTGTTTCTCATAAGGAATAGTCATTTTCTAAAAAAAGTGTTTTTCCTTTCCTTTGCAGATTTGTTAGAAAAGGTAAGTTTGAATTACTTTGTTATTATCAGCCCTTCTTGAAATGTCATCTTTCCATGTTATTTCACAACTAAATGCACATTTCTTCAGAGTCCATACAGTTATACGAACAGTTTTTTTCTTTTTTTCAGTCTCGTGTAGTTAGGCAAACAGAAGGAGAGAGAAACTTCCACATTTTCTACCAGTTGTTACAAGGAGCACCACAAAGTCTACTAAGTAAGTCATCATGCATTAATGTCTAAAATGTTTTTTTGTCGGTTTTATCTAGAAAGATATATTATGCATCACGGCGGCAGAACGTACTGCACCTGCGTGAAACTCGTAATGTATTGTACATAGCACTTCGGTAGAGCGTCTCATATAAGGTTGTATTCGCGCATATAAGGTTACCATTCCGTCTGTAGTTTCGATACGTTGTGTGGGAAAAGATATCTTCTGCAACAGGCAAAATTCTGATGCAACATTGACCAAAAATCCACCAAAAAACGTGAAAATACAGGGTTCTGCGCAGGCGCAGTACGTTCTGCCGACGTGCTATATTATGCAGGTTTGACTTTATTTCCTTTTAAATATATGCAGCACTGGCTTACTAATATTTATACCACATGACTTGAATGTTATACATTGCTCAGTAATGGTTGACCGTGAGAGTTGTGAATTGTTCCCCAGATAAGCTGCGCCTGTCCAGCACGTGTGAGAAGTACGGTTACCTGAACCAGAGTCACTGTGTGGCCGTCGACACTATCGACGATGCAGCCCACTTCCAAGTAACGGAGGTCAGTGTGGGGTTTTAGTAGGTATAGAAAAAGCGATATTTTTTGGACAGAGCATTCTGAGCATCTTCTAGTTTAAGCCAGATAATATACAATTTGCTGTTTATCATGATTATTATACCAATGATAATCTTTGTGAAATGTGAAAAGAAGGGCAAAATAGTTGGGTACGCACTTTTACAAGTTGCCCCCCCCCACACACAAAACAACAGTACAATAAACAATTTTACAAAAACAAAAAAAAAATGTAAAAATATACAAGGCAGGTCATAGAATAATGAAGCATAATCCAGATTTACTGATATTGCAGAATTCACCATTCAAACATCAACTGAAATGTGACCTGTACAGCCTCTGACCTGTTCTGTTATGTCTGAAATGATGATCTCTATAATGTGTTTAACATTCTCTCTCAGAAGCAGATGGTTTACCCATTACAGCCTGGCACGCACAGCTTAACATGGATCACATCTGACCCTGCCCCCAATAACAGACACATAGTGGGCATACTGGCTGATATCTGTGTTTGTTTAATAGAAGTTGGAGAATGTTGGCAAGTTCCATACCTGTGGTGTAGTGTACATTGTACACGTGGGTGGCCTGTACTGTAGCCTGGGTGCCAGTGCTTAGAATAAAGAATTTCACAACATTTCTTTTTACTGATCCCATCGACAAGATCTCTATTACCGGCTGCCATGCCATGGTCTCAAAGTTGGCACCCTTCTTCAAATTATCGTGCTTGTGAGAGAAAAATTAGACCCTGGGTGCCAACTCTGAGATTGTAGCATGTGGCTTCCCCCAGCTGAAGGCAGCATTGTGTATTGTGCTGCGCAGGGGTCTGGTACCCAGGCTACCTGTACTGTTACTAAATCCTGTTCCACGTACAAAGAAAGGAATGTTTCTGTTAATATTACAAACAATTCTGTATGAATCTTTGAATGATCTTAATATTTACTGATATTTGGCCGACTGTTTGTAGGTCCGGGAATGTTCAAAGGTCCACAGATTTTTTATTGCAATCAAATTAATATAATTGTGTATTTTCTGTACTGTCTTGTCTATGTTGTATTTCTGGCAAGCAATGCCACAGATTTGCAATGAATTACCAATTTTCATGTAAATGAAGACTTGACTTTACTGCAGAGAACATAAAATGAAAATCTGACTCATAAAGGGATGTTGATAGAGAAATCTTGAAACTTCTTGAATAAATGTCCTGAACTTGAACACATTTCACACACCCATCATTGTGTCTTCCTCTCTATCCTACAGAATGCCATGAGAGTCATAGGGTTCACAGAAACAGAGATCACCCAGGTGTTCGAGGTGGTGGCGGCGGTACTCAAACTGGGCAACACCGAGTTTGAGTCTTTCATCTCTTTCAATGGCACAGAGGCCTGCAATCTGACCAATGAACACAGTGAGTTTACTTATAATCATAGCTTCAAACAGTGCCCTGCAGATGGATGTGCAAAGGTTAAGTGTAACAGGTTGTTTGTTGTAATATAATATATCTAAGACTTGTCTGAAAATGTCTGAAAAAAAGCTCAGTTGTAGATATTATTATAGATAAATGGAGGTCTATAGTTCCCATACAGATATTTTCCTTCAGAATTATTTTCTGAAAGAGACGGTCACATAAGACAGGAGGGTGTGCAGCAGAGAATTGAGATCTGAAATAAGCTGGGGGCATGCTCCAAGTTCAGTTCAGTTTATCCTCAGTGAGGTGACACACTATACTGCCTCCACAAGTTCCTGTTGTGTGTGACAGAGCATAGCTCATCACCTTGTAAACTCGTATCCTTAAGTTTTCCAATTACATTCTTATAAGGGTATGCCCCTAAAGGTGTTTGTCTGTTTTCCAGCGATTGAGGAAGTCTGTAAGATGATCCAGTGTGACCCTGAGCAGTTGAAGCAGGCACTGACTAACCGTACCATGGACATCTGTATCACTGGTCTGGCCGAGAGGGTGGTGTCCACTCTCAGCTCTGGACAGGTGAGGTGGACTTTCATGTAGTCACAAGCATAGTCTCTATCTTACCCAGCTTTACATTAAAAATCATGGTATACTTTTCATCAGTGCGTTATTTTGGTTCCAGTAGAACAGACAGTCTTTGGCTGAGCTAGGCCAGCCATAATTTCAATGTATTAAGCAACATTTGAATAACATTAATGACATTTCTAAAAGGGTACTGTTTAGGGACTATTGGATGCAAGATTTGGCAATCAGTGACATAGAATAGCATCAGGACTGGGAAGTACTAGTACTATGAACAGAGGAAGAGGGATAATTATCATAATCATAATATTTGTTATTTGTCTGATATAATGACCATGATTATACTCCCCCCAGGCTGTGTATGCCAGAGACGCCCTGTGTAAGGCCATGTACTCCAGGCTCTTCTCCTGGCTGGTGGGCAGGATCAATGACAGCATCAAGGTAAATGTACATGTACTGTTCCTGGTAGACACATGGTATGGCATACATAGTGTACATGTACATAGTGTACAAAGCACCTTTGTAAAACCCGAAGTTTGCACAGTTTTTATTGTTGGATGTTTCGTCAACATTGCATCTGAATTTTGCTTGTTGCAGACGATATCTTTCCTGTCACAACATACATGTAGATGAAAACTACAGATGGGATGTCATCCTTAAATATGCAAATATACTGTACGACCTTTAATGTTTTGATGTGACACTAGCTGGATTTGACTTTTTTTTTATTTTCTGTGAATATGAAGATTATATAATGGATTGAGAACAGTCCTACTCATTTTTCTCATTCATGAAAATAAATTACTTTAATTTCAGGTTCGCTCAAGAGGGAAGAAAAAAGTCATGGGAGTTCTGGACATCTATGGGTTTGAAGTCTTTGAGGTATGTTTCAATATTGATCATGAATGGCCATGAATGAAGCATAATCTTTAATTTTTAATTCATATTTCATCCTTGAAAAAAAGGATATGAATATTGTGGCCTGAAGTTCAAAATGCAAACAAAGTGATAAGCTTCCAGCTTGATGGAATTTATGATGACATAATTTTGCTGTGATAGTTGCAATCACTACACAGCATGGCTGTATTTATTTTTCAGCTTGCCAGTGTTCATTGAAAGTAATTGCATGAGAAGTTTATTTCTGAAGTTTCAAGATGCTGTTATAATGTACCGCTGTATTTTATTCAATAGTTGACAAAGTAAGCTATGGAAAATGTAAGATATTAGTAAAAAAAACTGCATTAATTTCTTTCTACCTGCATGTTTTAAGAATTGTTAATGCTAGCTAATCTTTCTTCATCTTTCAATCTCTAGCTGCATAAACTGTGTCCAAATATTTGTAGTGACTGTGTCTATTTTTTAATGTTTTATATAAGAACTTTACAACTTTCTTAATAAGGCTTTTATTCTTAACTTGCACTTTTCTTTCTTCTTTTTCTGCTGGGTATTCGTTGATGCCATTGACAATTTACAGAAGGTATCGTTTTGCTGTTTTAGTGTTGCGCTAATTTTGGCCGATCAGTGATTGAATGTAGATTGAAATAGATATAGACACGGGTGAGCTATGAGAATGCATGGCATCCATTTTGCATGGTCTCCAATTTTTTTTTAATTCAGGAAAAAAATAAAATGATGAAAAATCATTGGTGTGTATCTTTAATTACTAAGACTGTCTGAAACTGAAGTCCTATTTTGGTTTAAGTATGGTTATGATTTGCTCACTGTATCAAATTTTCAAAAGAATGAATCTATGATTCTTTGACAATGTAGCAAATTTTTAGTCTTGCATGCCTGGTGACATAATATAATACGGTGACATAATCTTGCAGACATTGGTGAAACTTGGGTGTAAGGTGCATGTATTTCACATGCAATAAAAATATTGTACATTAGAATAATGACCAATTTTTGAATGTTGCACTGTTTGTAAGGTAATCTAATCGTGACAACAAATTAAAGGTTATGGGAATCTAACAACACCCTTAAAACAAGTTGTCAATAATTACCAAAACATCTATATAGCTACTATATATAATAATGGTTGAAAAGTGTAATTAAGCTGATTCATTACACAAGTCCAGTGTAATAAATTACTAATGTAAGAGGGGGACACATTTTTAAAAATTCATCCAACTTTTCTAACACGTTACAGTATAAAATGAATGAGTTATCAGAAATGAAACTAGAAATGAAATGGATGCCTGTTTGGAAAATGTTGACTATCCTTTTTTCACTGTAGGTTAATGTTATGTCATTATTTATGAATGTTTCAATGCAAGCTGAACTGGTTTTTTTCTGTACACATTCCAGGACAACAATTTTGAGCAGTTTGTCATCAACTACTGCAATGAGAAGCTGCAACAGATCTTCATAGAACTGACCCTGAAGGAGGAGCAGGATGAGTATGTACAGGAGGTAAGTCTCTTCACAGACAAGCAGAGTCAGAGAAAGTCTAAATATCTAATGAAAAGTATTTAAAGTAGTACATCATAGCTGAAGGCATACATGTAAAATCCGTGTCCATAATATCACCAGGGTCCATAATATCGCCACCTTGAGAAATAGTGTGCTTTAAGATATTTGTACTGCAACATACTTTTGGTATGCACTCCTTCACACATCAAATGTACATACCTAGGGTATGTTGCAGTAAAAATATCTTTAAGGACACTTTTTCTCAAGGTGGCGATATTATGGACTATGGTGATATGCTGATGTATATTATGTAGTAACACATTCTGAGTAATACAAAATTTAGGTAACGAACTTTTGATTCTTACATACCCAAAGGAGTTAAGTATTGTTTTTCGGTTTCCTAACTGTGTGTTTGTGTGGCTGTTTGTGTGTTCCTTCATTTCTGCCATTTCTAATTTTCTTCAAAATACATGTACATTTTGTGTCTTTCAGGGTATTGAGTGGACACACATTGATTACTTCAACAACTCTATCATCTGCCAACTCATAGAAAAGGTACTTGTGAAAACTATCATTATGTCTAATTCTGGCTTATCTTGCTTACAGGTTTGTAGTTATAACTTACACTCTTCAAAAAGTGGAAGTGGTTAACATGTAGAATTGGTCCATGTATATGGTGTTCAGCACCAAGGACAGGCCTAGGGGAGTTCGGATGTTCTTGTACAGAGTTCAGCACCAAGGCCAGGAGAGTCTGAATGCTCTTGTATGATGTTCAGTATCAAGGACAGTCCTAGGTGATCTGGAATGTGCTTGTATGACATTCAGCACGAAGGACAGGACAATTTTAATGCTCTAGAACCATGTCCAAGCATGGCTCTGGATAAGCATGGTTCGAAATACAAGAGAAACATATATGGTTGTACCTCTCCAGAAAAACACAGGGATCCTGGCTATCCTGGATGAGGAGTGCCTTATTGGTGGGAACGCGTCGGACCAGAGTTTCCTGAACAAGCTGAACGAAGTGTGCATCAGGCACGAGCACTACGAGAGCAGGAAGAAGAAGAGCTGCAGGTCGGACAAAACCCTCCCGTATGACTGCTTCAGACTCAGACACTATGCTGGAAGTGTGAGTGGGAATTTTGCTATATTATTTTATTATGTAAATTATCTTTACCTTTGCAGAATTGAAGAAAAGATACTGTTTTGGGTGTATTTTTTCTTGTCAAACACATAAGGTCAATCACCTGGACTGGATGGCTGTCACCATGGAAGCTGGTGCTTTAGCAGTCATCCTGTAGTGCTATATTATGTAGCAGTAAGGTTGGAGGGGCTGGTCACCATGTACATGTACAGATGTGTTTAAGTAAGAATAAACAGATCAGTAGTTTGGTAGGCTAGGCTATGTGAAGGCAAACAGTATGTTGTTCTGTCACAGGGGTGTTTTGAGTTATTGTAGCTAATAGTATTATTAATACCATGTGTTTTCTGTCCCATAACTGTGCAGGTAACATACAGTGTCCAGGGTTTCCTGGATAAGAACAATGACCTCCTGTTCCGTGGCCTGTCCCAGACCATGTTCGGATGTGACCATCAACTGGTCAAGAAGCTCTTCCCAGATGGTGAGAACATCTTATTTCTTACATTTTCTTAATGGGCCATATGGCAATCTTTTCAATGATCTTAAGCCAAAGGGTGGTTGCACTGGCTATACAGATACAGATAGTGAAAGAGTTACCCTCAGATGTAAATAATCAAGTTGTAACTCACTCACTCACCATCCAGTTTATCATCTGTTGTTTCCCGTCTTCCAAGGGTTAGACGTGTTTGCACTCTGATGCTGAGGCTTGATGGCAGCCCGCCATTTGCCTCTATCCTGTGGGTTGATGTTATGAAGGTTTAGGTGGTGGAAGTCCTCCCTTATGTTGTCCATCCATCCCTTTCTTGTTGTAACATCAAGTTTCATTTCTACATCCAGGCAACCCGAGAAGACAGACGAAGAAGAGACCCCCCACTGCAGGCACACAGTTCAAGAACTCCGTAGCAGAACTGATGAAGAACCTTCTGGCTAAGAACCCCAACTACATCAGGTGTATCAAGGTACTGGCTGTCAATCACATGATCATGTGATTCTCTCTCAACCAATCAAAATGTTTCTATGTATGACATACATGTACAGTGATTTTTTTGTTATAAATGACTGGAGAAAAGTACAAGGATATCAATGTGGGAATATTGGGAAGAATTTAATTTAGTTCTAGTAACTTTTGGAAACCTTACTGTAATGATGATGTGGTAGAAATTACATGGCATGATTCAATCCCAGGACCTCTAGGTTCTGAGCCGAACACTCTGCTGTTAAGCCAAACAACTTTCATAATGTTCTTATGTTTATCCAGCCCAATGATGTGAAGAGCCCAAACATGTTTGATGACTCAGTGGTCAGGCATCAGGTCAGATATCTCGGGTAGGTGCCAAATCTCAAGTTTGGCTGTACTATGTTCTCTCATTCTTTCTGTTAACAAAACATATAGTGAATGATTTGACATACATTTTAAGACGACTGTTTATTGAGGGGTATTTTTTTAAGGGTGTGTGTAGACAGTGACCCTGGACCAATTGGTTAGGAGGCATGCACACTACTGTAAAGAGTCCAGTCCTTATGGATGTTAGGCTGTGATCCACTGTTCATTGTACAAGCTAGCTAAGGAGAATTTCCTTGGTGCAATGAACCCCTGTAAATACTGTGTATAGCATCTGTCATCTCTGTCACAACCATTGGAAGAGTAGCTCATCAACAAGCTACATGTAATACTACATCCTGTCTTTCTTTCCCCCCTAGTTTGATGAAGAATGTGATCACTTCTCTGCAGAGTAATTTGTCCACATTGAAAGTTTGTATTCTACTGTCAGTCCACGGATAAAATATTTCTCATACAAAGTGTTGCCTGTTGACATGTACTACAGTCAATGATATGACATACATTTGGAATCAGAGAAAGGTGAATTTTAGAACAATGACTATTTGATGACTGGTATTTTTCCTCCTTAGTTTGATGGAGAATGTGAGAGTGCGGCGTGCAGGTTACGCGTACCGGCAGCCGTACGACCAGTGCCTGCAGCGGTACAAGATGCTGTGTCCCACCACGTGGCCCAACTGGCGCGGTCACCCCAAGGAGGGACTGCAGACACTCCTGACACACCTCCGGGTCAAACCTGCAGAGTACGCTAAAGGGAGGACAAAACTCTTCATCCGCAACCCAAGAACAGTAAGGGGATTGTTACAGTAATTTCAGCACACAGGTTAAAGTTTTGTTTTCAGATTTCAATAATGATTATGATACATGTAATGCACAGTTTACCAGTTAATTTGGTTAGTTTGTTAAAAAAGGTGTCGAATGGCTAGGCATACACAAGATAAAGAGGTCCCGAGTTTGATTCCTGTAGTTATTTGTTTGACCTTGAGTTAAATCTTGTCTTCCTGCAGCTGTTTGACCTTGAGGAGAGAAGAAGAGACAAGATGGAGGACCTGGCTATCCTGATCCAGAAAGTGTTCCGTGGCTGGCGGCAGTGGAAGCTGTACCAGGCCATGAGAGCCAGTCAGATCCTCATCTCAGCACAGTTCAGAGGATACAGGGTCCGTGGTGCTCTTATGTCTTTTTTATTCATTTGTTTAGGCTGAAAATAAAACCAAGGCTGCCCAACTAGCTTGGGGCTATTTTTAAGGGCAAACCAAACCACCAAGATGGGGGTTTGCCAGGCTGCCATCCAGGTGACTTGTAGTGTCTCTTTTGTATCCATCACTTATCAGATTTGCTGTACATATAGAATTCAGTATGGTGAATAGTTCTACAGTATTACAGTGTTACATACAGTACACACTTGCAGCATTAAACGACATTTCAACACCAAGGACAGTGACACTCTTTTTACGGGGTCCGTGCTTCTCTTGTGTATCCCTCACTTATCATATTTGCCAGATATTGCTGTACATATACATGTAGAATTCAGCAGTTCATACAGTGTAAACTTGCAGCATTAAAGGGCATTTCAGCACCAAGGACAGTGCCACTCTTTTATAGCGTTGGTGGTCCTCTTATAATGTATCAATCACTAAGTGGTTAAATGAACAGTACTACGAACAGCGTTCACTGTATTTCAGTACCAAGGACAGTGCCATTCTTTCTACCATATGTACAATATACTTGTACCCAATATGTCTAACTGTGTGATATTGAAGATAGTACACATTTAGTTCTTTGAATATTGTATATCATGATCATATGTATATTCACGATCACATGACTGTGTATTCTGCAATTGAAATTTATTGTCTCACCTTTATTTTCAGCAAAGAAAGTCGTACCAGCTGCAGAGAAGTTCTGCCATCACCATTGCTGCATTCTTCCGAGGATGGAAGGTGACTTATTATTCACATTTTCAAGCTTACTACAAGAAAATATTTTGTATTTACTTGATTATTCGACATTTATCTATTTATTTCTAAGCCATTTAGTGTAGATTTGTATTATCTCAGTTACCTTTTCAAAGTCAGTACTAAGTAAAGATACAGTAGTATCTAATAATTGAAGGTTGACACTAAATGTACAATGCTAGTAGATAGCTGAAAAAATCTATTTAGGAAACAGAAGTTGTCCTAAGGCTTCTAGTGTGTAGTGTTATGATATGTCTTGTCAGAAGAAGGGCTAGAAAAACAGGAACTTCAATACAAAATGCTTTTCAAATAGAGTATACTCTTGACATAGATTGACTTTCTCCTTCCCCCTTCATCACATACAAATCCACAAGACTAGAAACAGGTTCCCTAAAGTTGGACGTCACAGGCTAGAGGTTGATTTTCTATTTTCTTCTGGTCTTGACAGTGATATCAGCATGGCATTATGTTTTAGTTCTTGTTTGTTTTACTCCGAGTTATAATGACTATGGCATGTGGAACTTTCAAAGGTCTCCTAAATGACCAGACCCCTTTAGTTTGATAAACTTAATGTAACCCTTTGATTAACCATTAGACAAGCTGTACCATTTCATGAGGGGTATGTGAGTTGTATGTTACACAGGTACAACCCTCTACCTTTTCTGGTGGTATCCAGCATTGAAATGTTTTGACTCATTACAATTGATACTTTTAATATTCAATTTGCTACAAATGTGCCTTGTGTTTGGTTAAACTTTAAGTTACATTTTCAGTTTTCTGCATCCTCTTGTGAAGAAGTTCTGTTTTTCAGTGACATGATTTTCAGCCCAGATACATGTAATACCCTTTTCACCCAGAATTGCCCTGGATGAAGCAGTGGTGTTGTTTATTTCTTGTTGGTTATAACACTAACTGTTTGAAAGGCCAAAACACTTGCTTCAACTGTTGAGTACCCCTTTAACCACCGTTGACTGACTGCCAAACTCTTGCCAACTTTGCCACGGCCGTAACCACCCCAGGATTCTCTCCCCACAGGCACGCCAGCTGTACAAGCAGATGAAGTATGAGAAACTATGCATTTGGTCCGTCGGAATCATTCGCAAATACTACTTGGGTTGGCAAGTAAGTGCGCGGGAGGATCGGCAAGCTTTTTGCATGAAGCGCCGTCCCGTCATTAATGTTCTGGTGTTGTGGTGTCGGCACGTGGTATTGTGAATTTGTGAAAAGGCATCACTGGTAATGAAAGGAGCATATGCACGATTGTTGTCTTGTTTCTGGATGTGCCTTGCATGAGACAGCACGTTGGCAGAATGTACTGCGCTTGTGTGAAACCTGTGATGTATTGTGCATAGCACTTTGGCAGAATGTCTCATTAAAGGTAACTGTTGTATTCATGTATTTAAAGTTGGCATCCATTTTTAGTTTTCAAATGCTGTGCTGGAAAATATATTGTTTGTAACAGGCAAAATTCTGATGCAAAGTTGACCAAACATCCAACGAAAATGGTAAAAAAAATGTTTCGCACAGGTGCAGTACATTCTGCCAAAATGCTCTTGATACACAGACTGTTCAGATCTCCTTGGTTTCATGCATGTTCCAATAAATATAACAAGTTACATGTCATGCATAATCATACAACATTCTATGTACATGTAAGTATAATCTGCACTGTCCATGTGAATTGACATGTTGTGGCTTTGCTCAGAAGTAAAGGCAAGCATTCAATAAGTTTTCATTTTTATCACTATGAAAGCAGCTGCAGCTGTAATGTTTGTTCAATAGTCAGAAATGAATGAATGATCTTGTGATACTCTACACCTGTCCTTTGCTAGACACACTTTTCCAATTAACTGCGAGATTAAACAATGGCTTAAAGGCTGAATACACGTATAGAAAGCACAAATTATAATGGTGCACTTTTTGACCGTTCTAAGAACACAGAGGTTGGTTTCCACCAGGCTGGTGTGGGCTTGTTTTCTCTGCCACTCAACTCTCTCTCCTAACAGGCCAGGAAGCTGTGCAGGCAGCTTAGGCATGAGAAACGCTGTGTTTGGGCTGCCAATGTCATTCGTGCTTACTACATTGGGTGGAAAGTAAGTGGGCTTAGGGCACCTGCTCTGTACTAATGCCTTTTTCATTCCTGAAACCTATCTGTGCCGACATACAAGTTTTATAAGTTGTAAAGTAACCAAGTGCAAAATCTAGCAATTAAGCAAGCTCTTTTGAAGGGACAGCACAATGTGATTGGAATGGAGAGTTAGTCAAAAGTTAGGTCGATGAAGGTTAGACATCCAGATAATGAGATACACAAGAAAACTGTTACTCAAGAAACTGGATAGATTTTGAAAACTGTTTCAAGTAACATCCACCTCTTTTCACTGACAAGAAGTTAGTGGATGCTACTTGAAAGGCCTGACAGTTTTTACAGTCAGTTTTTTGTCAAAATATGTTGTCAAATTATACTGAACATGCAGTTTCCTTTTATTTTTGTTCATTTGTTCTAATTATTAATAATCACATTCTTTAAAGTCTTCACACCACTGACATAATATCTTGCATGCAGACTTGGTGAAGGGGCTTGGTGTCTTCCTTGTCTGTGTCATCACCACACGTCCTTGTACTAATTGTGTCCAATATGCATGTTCTCATCACAGATCACGATCATCAGTAAAATATAATCATTATGACATCATGTCTACGATGTCTGTTGATTTCTGAAGGCCTTGAAAAAGGTTGTTTCCCATTGCTCAAAACAATTGGCATGCTTAGTACACAGTCTTAACAGTTGCTCGTGACATTGATAAAAGATGTCATAAGAATTCACACATCAGAACATAGAATCTGATATACATGTAATCATGTTTACTAGTCCTACATGTACATTCAGTCCCATTATTTGAGGGTTGGAGACTGTGGTTCAGCCTCAAATGTACATAGCAGAGGAATGTCACCATCAGCCAAGGAAAATAAGAAGTACCATGCATAGGCTTACATACATGTACATGTAGATGTAAACAAAGAAGAATCTGAATTTTGATGGGAAATAACCTGATCTTTGCCTTCAGACCATCACTGTATATGTGTCTAATCACATTTAATCACAGTTATAATTGTCAACTATAATTTTGTCCAATCACGTTTTAGCTGTACAGTTGTTTATGTTACTGTTTATTTGTATTTTTGTGTCTTGTATGGTACATGTTTTAATATTTTGTTGAGGATACTGTCCCAAAAGTTGAGTTTTGGGACAGTATCCCCCATGTTTTGTCCAGTGCTGTGTTGATCCTAGCAGGTTCTATACGTCAGTTTTTGGTGGATAGAGCCTCCTTGGTTGATCATGTCCTTAACCCTACCCATGTTTTATTTTACCCTTCAATGTGTTGTTGTCCTATGGTGATGGTGTTTTTGGTGGCTTCATAACAGACAGATATATGCTGCTATAGCAACAGTTACTCTTATCATGATCGTTTGATACAATGTTGTGCAATAAGTACAGTATTGAGGAGAGAGGAAAGGGTTTCTTTTGGTAAATGATGTCAATAGATTATTGTAGAAAAACTATTCTAATGGTTTTTTCTTATCGGTCTTCTATGGTATATTTTATTCAAAAGCAATAATTGATAGGTTGATGTTAATGGGGTCAAGGAATGTTAATTGATGATTCCAATGCCTTTGATACAATGTAGGTGCGTAAGGAGTACCGGAAGCGTTTCCGTGCCAATGCAGCCCCGAAGATTGTCAGCTTCCTGAGAAACTGTGTGGTAAGTAATGGAGAAAACCTGCAAATATACATGTACATGTATGTGTGTGTGTACATGTATGTGTGTGTACATGTATGTGTGTGTGTACATGTATGTGTGTGTGTACATGTATGTGTGTGTACATGTATGTCTGTGTGTGTGTGTGTTATCCAGCTATTGTTCCCAATGTACACCATGCAGCATTGCCATACATCTTTATGTAGTGCTCCTCTTTTTTCTGTGGGACTGAAAGGTTTAAACTACAAAGCAGGATGGGTAAGGTGGTGAAGTCTGGTGTCTCTAAAAGTTTTCTGTTTTTGTGTTGCAGAGGAGAAAGTACCTGCACTTTAATGTAATATTTATTCATTATTGAACATTAAATGAAGTTGTTGCATGTATTCATGTTTCAAAAACAACCTTCTGAATGCTAATGATACAATAATACATTGTGTTGTTTCTGTGTTGTTTTGCAGAGGAGAAAGTACCTGCTGTTCCTGCATTCCAGACTGGCCACCCTGCCGCGGTCACTGCTGAGTCACGAGTGGCCGAGGTCCCCCCTCATCTGTCACACCACCAGCAAACACCTCAGGAAGATCTACCATGGCTGGAGGGTAAGGCAACTCACAAAACACAATACATGTACACACACACATCTACTCACACATACACACTCACGCACACTCACACACACACACTAACATGTCTGTCCTTGGTGCTGAACACTCTCCACACACGCGCACGCACACACACACACACATGCACACACACACTAATATTCCTGTCCTTGGTGCTGAACAATATCCACACACACTATCATGCCTGTCCTTGGTGCTGAACACTCTCCAAACACACACAAACACACTCACACTAACACACATGCTACTTCACACAACAGACATGCATCAACATTTTCAATATGAATATACAGTTAAATACATGATTGGACAGTCTGTATATAATGGTATAACCAATGACAAACAGGCGAATTTGTCTTTTACATGTACATTGTACCCAGTAAGTAAGTCTTAGATCTACATGTAATTGCCTATACGTGTTGTGGCCCAGTACCAGTATGTCAGAACCAATGCCCTCTACCTTCCATGTCCAGATCCCTTTCTTACCATCTCACAACAGTTCAGACCCAGATCAGTCTATCCATGTATACTGATTATCATACATTATGTGTCTGTTCACTGGCAATGTAGCCCGAGTGCCATCCTCTGTAGTTACCATTGGTTTGGTTGGTTTTCCCGTGATCATAATGATAGATCTGGCATACTCATTTTCACCTGAGCGAAGTGAGGAAAGTCATGTAAAAAAGGCACAAGATTGGTGACACTGGCAGGATTCGAACCCAGGACCTCTTGGTGTTGAGCCGAATGCTCTGCTGTTGGCCTGCTGGCTAACCACCACCTATAGATTGAACAAGACAGAGAGGATGGCACCAAGGCTACTGGCACTTCCCTGTTAACATCTTGAACATCTCAAACTAAGTTATATGTAACATCTGTGTCCATAATATCACCAGGGTCCATAATATCGCCACCTTGAGAAACAGTGTGCTTAAAGATCAGTGTGCTTTTTACTGCAACATACTTTTGGTATGCACTCCTTCACACATTAAATGTACATACCTAGGGTGTGTTGCAGTAAAATTATCTTTAAGCACACTATTTCTCAAGGTGAAGATATTATGGACCCTGGTGATATTATGGACACAGATGTTAGACCTGCTCCCTATTGCATCATCACAATTCCTGACCCTTACTTCTCCCTGTTTCCTCTCTCCTGTCTGTCTTTTTGTTTTTCCTGTCTGCCTGTGTCCCGCTCACCACAAGCACAGATCATTCCATCCTTCTACCCACCCCTGACCAGTCGAAACTGGCCCATCGGGCCCAAATCGTGCCGAGAGGCCAGCCTGCAGCTCTGGAGGATATACCACACGTGGCGGGTAGGCCTTAGAGGCACGTTGGTGTCTGTTGCTTTGACACCCTTGGTGAAAAATGCTGCCGTGTGTGTGTGTGTGATCCTTAATGTACACCCCTTTCATGATGGTACAGTCCAAAGGATGGTACAGTCCATGCATGGAAAAGGACCACATACAGTAACTGTAACAGCTACATAATGTTGTTGTGCAGTTAAGTTTGTTATCATTCATTGTTCGTTTCTCATTTTGTTAATTGTTTAATTGAATCATTATTTGATGCAATACTTCATTTCCTAGCCAAAAGGAGGTGACTGTAAAGAATTCAAGTGTCTCAAAGTCCTCAGCACCGGATGAAGGCAGCTGAAAATGGTTGTAATACATGTGTGTGGAAAAAGAATTTTTACTGCAAAGAGTCTGGTTTGAAAGTGTTGCCAAGGAGTTGGTCCACTAAAGGAGTACAGTTTGCTGCTACTACTTGAAAATGTACTTTAGTAGACTACATGTAACTCCACTGGCATGTTATCTGTCTTTTTGGCCAAATCCTACTCTTTCCAGTCGCTTCTGAAGCCTGGTAGAGGCTAGAAAATGGTTGCAGAGTGTAGAAAAAAAAAAGAATTTTACTGCTGAATGTCTGGCAGTTTATAAAGAAGATGCCAAACCTGCATGTATGTCTTTAAGAAGTTGTTTTTTGTTTCTTGCAGTGTCGGAAGTACCGTGAGATGTTGGATGAGGAAACACGGCGCATCATGAGGGAGAAACTCAGCGCCAGTGAGATCTTCAGGGGCAGGAAAACTCTCTATCCTGAGACGTGAGTCTGTTTGTTTCACAGAACCGGTAAACTGCCTTTTTAGGTATCATGAAAGTTCAGCTGTGTTGGTACTTACATGTTCAAAGAAGCCATGTGACAAGCTTTACTGGGTCAGTCTACTGAGGAAGACCAGAGTGACTGGTCGAAAGCTCTAGGTAAGAGAATTTTTTGTGTTGGACCAAAAGTTTTAACTTTAAACACCTTTTTAGGTGTTAACACTAGCCTGGAATCCATCCCTACATGCTCTGAATAGGTGTAAATACTTATATTGCCTTTCCCAAGGAAACAACATCGGGGCCTGACAGGAATTAGAACCCAGAACCTTCAGATTCTGAGTCAACCACATGACCATCTTGCCACCTGAATACTTCATTCTGTAGCTGATTTACACTGTGCCATGATTGTACTCTACTCTACTTGACACTAATACATTGTATAATCAAGAACTGAAAGGATGATTTGCAAGATTTCAGTTCCCTAACATCAGAAGAGTGTATTTTTTGTCCAAACATCTTTGTTCATTGAATAATACCTAGTACAACATATAACTATTTTCAGGAAATGTTATATTTCATATCTTCTTTAAAGCACATCATTGTTTATGTTTACAGAGTTCCAAGACCCTTCAAGGGAGACTATGTCCAGCTGCGACAGAACGTGAACTGGCGCCGAATGACGGAGTCAACGGGAGAACACGAGGTCCACTTCTCGGACATCGTGTACAAAATCAACCGCTCTAACGCCAAGGACAGTCTGCGGCTGATGGTGATCTGTGATGCCTCCATGCTGATTGTGAACCAGAAAACCCTGGCTATCAAGTACAGACTGCCCATTACAGAGGTGAGCAGATGAGTTCACTTTAGGAAATGTAGTAGTGTAGTGTAGAACATTCACATGTATCTCTCTCTCTCTGTCTCTGGTTTATTGTTTATAGTTGGCCTGTGTTCTGAGGGTTAGATGTGCTTGCAGTCTGATACTGGGGCTTTCTGCCACTGAAGAACCACGACCTTAGCTTATCCAGAACAAGAGATGTCAAAATCGTTCTGCTGCAGTACCAAAGTTCTGCTGTACAATGTAGTACTAAGGAAAGCTGCCAGGGGCTCGAAAATCTAATCACCTAGACCTACCTACTTACCAAATTTTATGACAAGCCATCCATAGGTTCTTGATTTATTTTGCTAAACCATCATATATGGCTAAACCACAATCATATATGAGCATAAACACTATGTTTCCATGCATATCAGACACTTTCCTCAGAGCTTCTGACTAGAGTGCTGCTTGTTAAATAATTATGTACTAGCCAATGTACATGTAGATGATATTTTTGTGTCAAAAACACAATTCCAAATGTGGCAAAGCCAAAGTTTGTATCCCTGATTTTGGAAAGTTATGTGGACTGCCGTGCATTTCTTCCAGATTGCGGGAATCTCCGTGAGTCCGTTCATGGACAACCTGTTTGTGATCCACATTAACCAGACGGGAGAGGAGGCGAGCAGGAAGGGGGATTTTGTCTTCCACAGCGAGCATCTGGTGGAGATTGTGAGCAAACTGAGGGACCAAGCCGAGCGTGCCAAGGGCGCACTAGTACCTGTCAGAATATCCAACACGTACGTACATGTAGTGCCCGTCAGAATATCCAACACGTACGTACATGTAGTACCCGTCAGAATATCCAACACGTACGTACATGTAGTACCTGTCAGAATACCAGTCCTGCTCTTTCCCTAGGATATTGGGGTTTTCTTTCACACAATAGTTAACAATGCCGGTAATAACCTGTAATGTATCTCAACTGCTTACATTTCAATCAGACATATTCCTCATAGATTCTGCTACTCGTTGTATACATGTACATGTATGTGGCGCGTTTCTGGTAAGAACACAGTCCCAGATGATAGCTTGTGGTGGAACATTCTATGTTGTACCAAGCTCTTTTCCTCTGCAGGAATGAATAATTTCTGATCAAGCTTCAGTTGTTTGAAATTTGCTTTTGAAAATCTGAATTTAAAGCATGTAGAATGTTTGCAATTCAGGTCTTGCAAAAAAGTTTTGAATATGATGTTTGAATTTCATATCTGTAAGTGTCTAATGAGAATTTCTTGTATGTTTGTTGTAGGTTCAGTGCGCAGTTCAACGGAAAGGGAATCCAGGTAGAGTTTGTGGAGACCGGTCTGAACGGGAAAATGCCAGTGTGTAAGCGCAAAGACGACCAGCTCGACGTCCTAGTATGAGAGGACCCAGTCCAGCTGCCCATTGTATGTCAAGAAAGTGCCTGTAAAAGCTGACAACTTTTCCAACTCGATGATGATAAGGGAGTGTGTATATTTGCTAGTAGGATTTTGTATGTTCTAATACATGTCATACGTGTGAATGTTGAAGTGTAAGTGTTAGATTTGGTTAAAGATAGGAGTAAGTCTTAGTGGCCTGTGATGCTGGACTAGGACCAGACATTCTGTATACAGTACATGTATATTTGAGTGTGTTTCTATATTCAGTATATGAGTGTATACATAACGTTATACATATATTTAGATAACGTACTTAAGTCTGTGATGCAGGTCTACTGTGCGTAACTTCATACACCTTTATGAAAATTAGGTTAACAGGAATCAATGCCATGGTAATTTTCTAGCTACACTAAGGGTATTTCAAATCAATTCAAAGATGAAATACTGATGTACTGATGAGAGAGGAAATTTTGTGTACAAATGTAGGTTGTATTGCAGTGTTTTCCTTGATAATATAGCTCTGACTTTTATTTGAAATATTTCCTTATGTACAAGGCTTCCTAGAGCATTTCCATGATAGCAAAAGTTTATTATTGTGTTTTTTTTCAATCATCTAGAAATGCTTGTATTTTGTGCATAAACAAAGATTTGATGATCATTCTGGACTCTTTACATCAAAAGAAAACACTCAAAGTCTGAAACTGAATCAGATGGTCCCCAAGTATGGAAGTTGAAGGAATTTTGCCTTTCTGGTGCTTCATGCTTTACATTTAGGTATTTTTAGAAAGCTACTTAATGTCTAAGCATAAACAAAAGGTTCAGGGATATAAGTTAACATTAATCATAGACAGTTTCAGTTTTGAAAAGTAGAATATGAAGTTACATACATTTCTATTGAATGTATTTCTTACACAAACATCTTTTTCTGCTCAGGCTTATTTAATTAACTTCCAGACATAACTTTGTTTATGGTCAACTAGTGCATCTTACTATTGGTAAGTACATACAACATCATATGTTCTGTATACAGTACTATGCAATTATATAGTTCACTTCATATACAGTTGTAGTATTAATGCCATACATTTATACAGTATTCAACATATTGTTAGTTTCGAATGTTGCTATCCAAGAGATCATTGTTTCCATAATTTTCTTAAGCATTTTTGTTGTATATATGAATTGATAATAATCTATGCTGCAAATGCATAACAGCTTAAGCTAATATAGGTTTTCATAACAATAATTGGTCAGCAAATAAGGTTATGATTATGAGAACAATAAGTAGATCAATCAGTGCAATTAGTGTAAATTTTGTAACTGAACGGAATAAGTTCACTTTCATGAACAAATGGTTTAGAATACAACAGAAAGCAAGTACATGTAACTTTAGTTAATTTCCTGTTGCTGTGTTGAATGCCAAAGATGTTTATATTAGTTTAATTATACGTGTACATGTATCTAGTTTCTTTGTCATGTATTCAGAACAAGATAACATTGAGCTTCAAGGTGGAATCACCATGTGGTGCCATAGACATTTCATAGTACCGATCCAGTGCGAAACAAGGGAAAAACTTCATTTTATTTATAGTATTACACACTTGGCAAAATGACTTGTACAAGTTAGTCTTGTTCCTACTCCTTTATTTTGACCTGCCACAAAAGTAGATTGGTGATATGCCAAACTTAAGACTGAAAATTACATGTACCCCTCCTCTCTGTATGATTACTTGATCTTTTATGTAGAATTAGTCTTGTAGTCCATCCTTGAATGGTTTTATGAAACAAATTTTGGTGATTACAAATGGCTATGACATAAACACACGTGAGGCAAGTTAACTTCACAACACATCATCATCACTTCACTGTATTTTTATACCATTAACAATTTCAGATAGATTATTAACATTGTCAAAGTTACTTAATATGATTATTAGCTGATTTAAATTATATGCAATGTTTATAAGTCACTTATACAGGTTAGCAATGCAACCTAAAACTTTCAGTATTTCTGTATATACTAGACTTATTCAGGAAGAAAAGGCAGTGTTTCTGAGATATTACCAAACGGAAATATCATTATAGAAGCCATCTCTTAGATACTATTTGTCTTGACTGCATATTGCTAGATTCAATTGTTCAAGTCGGAGTGCAGAGTGTTTTATCTAATAGTTTCTGCATTTTTGTTTCGTTTGTTTCACTTAACCGGTAAACCATCTTTAGGCATAACATTTTATCAAGATTAATCTAGATACATGTAAAGTAACTTTTTTTTCTAATTATTTTCCATTAATACCCAAGAATTGTACTTAAGAAAATTATAATTTATTATTGCAGTAATAATTTGGAATTTGGTGATTGGGTACCTTACTAGTTATACATATGAACATATATAAACATGACTTATAGTATAGACTCAAACGGAACAACATTACACTTCATTGTAAGATTCTGTTGGGTGAAGCTTTGGGTTATATCAAGGAAACACATTTTAGTACCATTATTAGATACAATATCTCACTGTGATTGTAGTGAGCTATCTTTGATACTGAACTGGATGTTGGCAACTGCCATGATGATGAATATAAGACATTGCAGGATCTTTGCAAATATGTCAAATAAGTTGTTGTTTTATCTTATTGTGTTTACCTTCCTTTCTTCTCCAAACAAATAAGGTCAATGACCTGTACCACACGGCTGTCACCATGGTAACTTGTTCTGTAGTAGATCACAATTTTAAAACCGCTTTTTCTTAAAACTCCCGTACGACCGTCCCTTTAAATTTGCGCGAGCTTTTTAAGTTAGATAATAAGAGGACCAGGTTTCAGTAAATGACAACGTCATTGCCCAGTTGAGGATGCACCAGTTGCGTCACAGGTGACGTCATCGTAGCGATGCTCAACATGTATTTGGCAGGCATTGGGTCCTGTTGGAGACAGAAGTTACAGACACTATAAAATGTGGCCCATTCCAAATCATGTTTTGGAAAAACAGCAAATATACGAACAAAAGCAGCACTGGAAAAACCTGTAGCAACACTGAATGACTATCATGTTTTGGAATAACAGCAAGTATACACAAGCAGCACTGGAAAAACCCCTAGGCCCTGGCAGCACTGAATAACACGTTTTGAATTCAACTGATGTTGGTGTTATGATACTAGACAAGACAGAATGACAGCATGGGTACTCAACGCCACCTACATGTAACTGTAGGGTAGCGGCCAGGGAGTAGCGCCCCTGCTCATTGAGGAGCCGGGTTTCCAAAAATCAAGGTTTCATCAAGATTTTTTAACGTCCCTGCTTGAACAAAGCGCAAATTATAGAAAAAAAATCAAGCGACACAACTCTAAGAACTAGAGAACCCCCCTACCGTGCCAGAATCTTATACTGCAGCTGCATGAAGTGAAAAGAAACCAGAAGAAGAAGCTTTAGGTCTCGAGTAGAATATTTTGATACCTTTTCCTTAGCTGTAGCTCTCCGTCCCAGGATGAACCAGTGCAGGGCACCGAACAGCACCAACACCAGGAAACTCGTGGTCCCGAAAGCACAGAAAGTCACATCGGCTCCTAAAAACATAAGGGTTTGAACTTATCAGACATTATTAAAGATTGCATGCACGGGATATGCATATTAGTTAATGTGGGGGCACCTTTGAAGGATAATATGTGAGTTGCTGCGTGTTACTTAACGTTACTGAAGGACGTCTATTGTTACAGATTCAGCTGACATGGCCATGCACGTCTTTGAAATTTGAGAAAGTGCATTCCTGTTTTAGGTAGAAAAATTCAATAAACTATATACAATAGTCAAAAAAATTGGCCAAATAGACAGATAACACACTAGAACACCATGACTAGAAGGGGTCCTTTCGGTAGCGGCAAACTGTGCTCCTTTGGCAGTCTATTTCAGTCTATTTGCCCAATTTCCACTCTAGAATTTGGTCTGTCAAAGGAGTACAGTTTCTGTACTCTTTCCAGCCGCCCTGAAGCCTGGTAGAGGCCAGTATTGCCAGAGGGCGGAAGTAGTGACTTACCGAAGTGGTGGACCAGCACGCCGCCGATGACAGAGCCGCAGCCCCGGCCCAGCCCGTGGTGCACGCCCTGCAGGATGCCCTGCGCGGAGGCCCGCAGACCCGGCGGCGTGGTCTGCCCGATGTACGACGTACATGCCGCCCAGATGGCCGCGTGTGTCACGCCTGGGGAGCACAATATACAGTTTTTATTGACACTAACAACAGCAAATTTTGTATATAGGCCCTCTACAACTATGTATACAAACAAAGAAGTTCAATGAAGGGGTACCGCTTGCCACTTTGAAAGCAAACGACACGGTTCAGTATCAATCAGGCATTTTCAGTATCAAGGACAGACATTTTCAGTACCAAGGGTGACTTTTCAGTACCAAGGACAGGCATTTTCAGTACCAAGGGTGACATTTTAGTACAAAGGACAGGCATTTTCAGTACCAAAGGTGACTTTTTAGTACCAAGGAGGCATTTCAGTACCAAAGGTGACTTTTTAGTACAAAGGACAGGCATTTTCAGTACCAAAGGTGACTTTTTAGTACCAAGGACAGGCATTTTCAGTACCAAGGAGGCATTTCAGTACCAAGGGTGACATTTTAGTACAAAGGACAGGCATTTTCAGTACCAAAGGTGACTTTTTAGTACAAAGGACAGGCATTTTCAGTACCAAAGGTGACTTTTTAGTACCAAGGACAGGCATTTTCAGTGCCAAGGGTGATTTTTCAGTACAGTACCAAAGACAGGCATTTTCAGTGCCAAGGATGCATTTTCAGTACCAAGGACAGGCATTTTCAGTACCAAGGACAGACACTTCAAGTACTATATTATCTAGATCTTAAGCTGATGCTGAGGTGGAAGATCGTAACCTTTTCTGACTGCCCTGCTTCTCTAGCTGAGCTATTCAACATTTGATCGGAGATCAACACCATCAGCTAGACACATTTCACATAACGTTACATATTCAATCATTCGTCCATTCATAAACTTGTGTACCTTGTAGGAGCTCCAGAGGTAGAACCAGCCACGGATTGGTCAGGAAGGAGTACGTCACGAACCGGACCACCGTCCCAGCCAATCCCAGGCACAGGATCTTCACGTGACCCAGGTTTGAAATCAGCCAATAGCTGAGGAGGTAGGCGGTGACCTCGGAGATGTGGTTGAGAGCCGAGGCGATGCCAAAGAGGATGTGGGTGCCGCCCAAGTCGTGGAGATGCCAGAACAGAAAGGTGAAAACCAGGCCACTTCCGAAGCCCAAAACCCAGGCGACAAACAGAACAGATCCATGTCGAGCATCACACAGTATCGCGAAAACTTCCTTCGAATTCGTTGGCATCACCGCTGAATCGAATGGGAAGGCTTCTGTCGCAGGTGTTTCTTTGAAAGAATCACGACGTACACGATTGCAGCGCATCTTGTCGGCCTTTTCTTCGCTTGACTTGTGCTTCGTGAAGTCGCTTAGTGGAATCGTTTCTTCGTCTTGGTGATAGCGGAAACGAAACTGGGTCGACACGAACAAAGCGCAGCACATCAGCACAGCAAAAGTCACGAAGCACACTGTGTACACCCCTGGTTTGTCACAGTCTGTGTTAAAATAATCGGTGTGGCGGCCGATGTGGTCGAGGATGATTCCGATGATGAACATGGCCAGCCCCCATCCTAGCGAACCGAACATCCTCTGGTGGCCATATCTGTCCACTTCGTTTCCGAGGTACCCCAGAGTAGCGCTATCCGCCATGGTAATCGCAGGGGCGCTGAAAAATTCTCCGCAAACTATTAGCACCAGCAGGGTCCAGAAAGCGGTCTCCAGGTGGGCAAACTTGAAAGGATTTTGAGCCAGAAGAGCAGCCCTACTCACTCTAGAACTATGCGTAGTAGCCGCTGTTTCGGTTGTGGTAGCCTCTAAATTGGGTAGCGATGTTGTTAAATCTTCACCCCAAAGATCTTCGTAGTCAGAGCTTTCATCGGTGTCATTTAGGCAAGGGACATCTTTCGGTGTGACGAGAGCTATGGAGGAAGTGAAGGCGACCCAGCAGGCTAGAGAAAACAGCAGCACAGCTTTGCCCTTTCTCCAACGGTCTGCAACAACTCCCCACAGCAGGCAACTGCAAAACTCCACGAACGGCCGGATGCCCATTAATACCCCGCTCTCTGTAGCGCTCATGCCTAACTGTTTAAAGTACACTGCGAGTAAAGGAAAAAGAGACCCGTACGCGGAAAAGAACAAGAAATAGAATGATTTCGAGACGAGGAGGTCTTTATCTACTTCAGGACAATGTCCGCAAATGGTTTTTTGGTCTGATGTCTCGTTCCCGGAGTCTTTCGTGGTTTCGGCCGTTTTGGCGCCGTCTGTTATCTCGTTCCCACGGTCTTCTACGGTTTCGGCCATTTTTGTTTCCTTTTCTTGGGGGGACACCAGGTCACTTTTGTCCATTGCTGACATCTTGTTTCTGGAAAGGAACAAGTACCAGATTTATCAACCAAGGATTGAGGGGTCCCAAAATTCGTATTTTCCTAGAAATATCGTAGGCTCGTTGCCACCAAATACAGTTGGCAAATCGTTGCATTAAAGGTTAGGTGCAACAGGTCGTTCGGTGTAATATAGCCAGCTGCCGCCGCGCCACGTGCCTGCAAAGCTGGTGTGTTACTGTTATGTTGCCGGCATGTTGTAATGTGTTTTCCAGCTCTATCGATGCGGAGATAACAAAAAGATCAATACAGTAATTAGCCCACCATGTAAAACCCGCGCCACGTACATGTATACTGTATGTCTTATCACCCAAACTATGGAACAAGTTTTCAGCTATCGAACGGTGTTTTTGAGAGTGGGGCCTTCTGTGAGAGGCAAAATCTATCGGTAGACCTATGAAAATCTACTCTTCAAGCAGAGGTTGTGGGGGAATGATCGTTAGCTTCTTATATATGGCCGTTTTGTTTGTCGCTAATCCCACCAACCGTCGGTGGCCGGCGACCTTCTCTGGGTAATGGATACTGCCTGGCCAATTTGATACTGTCTTTTTGCCACCGAAAGGGATCTGCTTGAAGATTAATGCAAATCATTCATGTGACATGAATTAACATGTTTTCCACCCCACCTCCCCCCCAACCCCGTACAATAAGGAAAACTACGGACAATACCTTTCTAGACGAAACACAGCAAACCGTGTTCACAGCAAAAGAAGACAGCTTCCTCACAGAGCTAGAACTTGGACCACCAATTCTCACCTGTGTGAGGAATGAAATAGAGAGACCGTGTAGTGTAGATCAGTCACGAAGTGTCTGAAATAACACCTAGCCGCTCTGTACACGTCCTACATCATGGACGTCATCAAAATGTCAGACCGTACGTTCAGCCTGTTACAATGTATAAATAGCGCAGCCTGCTTACGAGTGTGGCAGACACTGCCGGGTGACCTTTGATGCTACACCCAAGTCCTGTTTATCATTTGGATCAACTGGTTCTATTGATATAATAAACATAATAAATGATAGATATAATTCCTGTGCTGGACAGCTAACACAAACGTTGTAGTATATATGTGTGAAGATAAGAGCAAAGTTTGGTTTGTAGTTATGAATTTTTGCCAGCAAAATCATTGGCCGTACGTTTCAGTATGGCAGATGTAACAAACGATGATAAAAATCATGAAAATACACTCTTTTCTCTTAATCTTCCACAGGAAGCAGCTAGGATTTCATACAACCCCTCCCCATGTGCACGACAATGTAATGCTCAGAAAGACACAAGCACCTACAGTTCAAAATTACAAAAGGAGTTGTTAGATCGAGCAAAATGGAAAGAAACACATACGTACTAGCGGTCAGCAGTTGCCACCCCACAGGCTACTTTCTTATTAAATCATCACAATCCATCCGTAACCATATCCTGTTCATAAATAAACAAATAAAGAAACGACGACGAAAGATAAGCTCGTTGGCACACGTTAAGCAATCGTTAGCCTGGGTGCCAGACTGTTGCCAGGGGCAGTATACAGGCCAGCTCCTCAGCACCAGGGCCAACATGTCTCCAAGGAAATGTTACCACAGCCCCCCTCAGTTAGACCCTGGCCCTGACTAACTCTTGGCCTATCGTGCTATGTGGGTCTGGTATCCAGACTAGACAATTGCTGATATCTTTAACAGTAGTTGTCAACGTTGCACAACATTCAACGTGCATTGTTTTTCAGGCGTCAACATCATAAATCAGTGGAGTGTATCTTACAACACATTTCGTGACATGAAGAGGAAATCTACCCGACTTTGTACCCATGTTGTAGACGAACAGCGCAGATCAGTTTCTTTGCAATTTGCGTGCGATTGATATCAATAATGATATGGGGAAAACAATTATTCTATTTTTGGAAAAACAACATATGTGGATACATTACCCCATACCTCTGACGAAAACTACTGTACATTTTATGAAGCTTATCTAAACTGGATTCTTCAATGATATGAACAAGAAATATTCATTGTACAAATAAGCACAAGTACGGTCTACACACACGGTGCAGGAAGTCTAGAATTAAGCTCATTATAGCGTGGTAGACTAAACATAAACAGAACGTTATGTTACTAAGATTAACAAAACTGTCAGCTATGCGATAAAAAATTCAGATACGCGGGACAAGTATCGCGTATTTGATCTACGAATATTTTCCATTCATTCTAACTTCAAAAATTCAAAAGAAAAGAAAAAATATGATATCTGTTACATCAATATTCAACCAATAACAAATACGTACATGCAAAAATATGGCTAGAAATATCTTGTGCTCACTAGTACCTGTTGCAAATTTGAGATGATCACGAATTTCGACATACAATCTGTGTGAATCCTAAGCAAGAACTTTTAAAACTAACATTACATTTAGATTTGGTCTACTTAGAACTAACGAAATGAGATCTGCTGTGCGTCGACAGACGTCAACAGGTGTGTATTTAGATTACCTGTACACCGGAGCACAAAGCTATGCCGCCCGCCGATATTTGGCAGGTTAGGGCGGGAATTATCTGTAGACCCCGAGTTGACAAGACCTCAATACTCCAAGCCGTTATCAAATTTCACACCGATTTTTGTCCTAGCAACGACGTGGAAAAGATCAATTGTAGCGTCTGCACAGTACTCAATGACTTTACAGCACAGCTGACACAGGCTTTCATGGCTTACATGTGTTACAGCAGGTTCTACTACGGATATATTATACAGGAAACGTGTGGGTGCCTTGTCAACACTAGGTCTCACCCACGTAATATTCAAGCAGGTCAGATGTGTTACCCTATACAAGGCTTCTCAGGCGCCCGGAAAGAGTACAAATTGGCCGAATAGAGATATAACATGCCAGGGTTGGGTTGGTGGAGCGGCAAACTGTACACCTTTAGCGGATTATTGATATCTCCCCTGGTATGTTATCTGTCTATTTGGCCAATTTCTACTCATTCCAGTCGCCTGAGAATCCTAGTAGACACTAACACATCTGACCTGCTTGAATATTACGTGGGTGAGTCCTCTGAAGTCTGGTAGAGGCTAAGGACGTGTGACAATCTCAGTTCGTGCTTACAGCTCGAGATATACCAAAATATAACATTACGTATACCAAACATACAAGTTGGTATTTCGCCATTTTGCTCTTGTGTGTACTTAGAATGACACTGCACTGTTGTTTCCGGTCTAGAAACAAGGTTCGAATCCCCGCTGTTATGTCCCTGGGAAACTAGCTTTCCCCCTCGACCCAGGTGAAAATGAGTACCTACCTTCGGTTAACCGGTTAGGGACGTCCTCCCAGATGGGATATAAAGGTCGTCGCCATCGGCGATCTTTAACCCTTGTCTGCAGGATATTTTCAAATAATTTGAAGTCTTGATCAGGTTACAGACCCTTGACTTTTTTGCCCCGCGGTAGCATAGTTACTTCCGCATTCGTTGCGTTTCGCCGCGGTTTGATGCTTTGCATGAGAAATACCCCCAAATCGTACATATACAGGGCACTATGTAGATCGTACTGTATGTGCAACCCATATGACGTCCCGCAGGACAAGGGTTTTTAACATACCACCGCACTTGTCGGGAAGTGTAGGGGACCTTCCCGGTGTGAGTGGTTCAAACCTTACAGTCTGGTCTTACGAAGCTTGCACTTACTGTACAAAACTGGTGTGTTATGCCTAAAGGCAGTTTACCGGCGATACAAACAAATGCATCACCGAGAGCATTCTATAAGTTACAGGCTGAAGTGAAAGAAAATTACAACAGATGGAGTTCATCGATCTACCAGCACAAAACACATTAGCTGAGTCTTACATATCTGCGTACAATTGTACAGGCCTGGATTCATAGTTCTGTAGAACTCTGATATACCTATACCTGTATCTGTATAGCCGATATAACCGCTCAGCGTAACACACCAGCTTCGAATTCTGTACACGTGTATCTGTATAGCCGGTATAACCGCCCAGTGTAACACACCAGCTTCTGTACGTATCTGTATAGCCGGTATAGCCGCCCTTCTGTGTAATCCACCAGCTTCTGTTTTTGTATAGCCGGTATAACCGCCCTTCGGCGTAATGCACAAGCTTCGAAACAAAATAGATGTTCATGGAACTATCACATTTTCTTAGCATGAAGCCTTTAGCCCTTTTTGTCATATCACAGTTTCTATTTGGACTTCAGACTAGGGGTTTGTACCTTGTGGTGCCATAAGAGAATACCCCCCCAAACAATCGGTCAGCAGCACGTACCTTCATTCAGTGTGTAGTAGTAACGCCCTCGGTAGACAGGCACATGTAGAATTATTCTCCCCTTTTTTGCCGACTTCTACGATCCGTACCCCCGTAGGAAGGCCTGGTGGAGGCTAATGGTTTCCCGTTTTCTCCTCAAAACGTCACGAGAACGGCACGAATCCACCACGAAAACTTCCCAACGTCCTGCTGCACACTTTAGAAAGACATTCTACCGGCAAAAACTCGAAAAAGTCCCCGGAAAGTAACACAAAAGTATCCCAGATCATCCACGTCGCTTGACAGAACGGCCATCTTGAACGGACTAAACCAAACGTGTTTTACACAGGTGTTTAAAACAGCCCTCTCTCTCAAATTAATATGAAGCTGATCTAATTACGAAGACAACTTCAGTTTAAGAAAGGGGCTTTATTTTAAAAAAGGGCTTAGAAATCCACTATTTCTGTTACCGACATCATCTACGAATAAGCTTCTGTATGACTAAAGGCTGAAATTAATGAACACGTTTTCGTCTGTAAACTCTTTCGTTTGCGCGATAATTCATTCCCCGCAAGCAGAGGGAAGGAAGTTTTTGAGGTGTTTCAAGCTTTTGGTTCTGAAAATCATCTAAACACAGGTAGATCTAGCTGTCTCTAGCGCCGAGCATCTAAACACAGGAAAGCATACATACCCTGTCCTTGACTCTGAACGCCATCCACACACATGAATGCATACATACCCTGTCCTTGGTGCTGAACGCCATTCACACACAGGAAAGCATACATACCCTGTCCTTGGTGCTGAACGCCATCCACACACAGAAAAACGCGCCTAGCCCTACCTTGGTGCTGAACGTCATCCGCACACAGGAAAACTCACTGGCCTGTTCTTGGTGGCTAGCCTCATCCACAGGGCAAATCGGCACAAACATGCTCGTTCGACCCGAGGTTGTTGTTCTACTTTACCCCGCAGTGCGGCGCTCATTACTGGCAAAAGTCGAACATTGTATCTTCAAGTTTTGTATGTGACCGACGTTCCGAACCACAGAGTAGGATTACTTCTACTGCTGCTTTACAAAACTGATTCTTGTAGTCAGTTTTTCACACTTCTGAGATCTTTAAATACTCATGACTCCCCAGCCAAGAGCAATTCTCAGTAAACATCAACATCTTTGCTGTTGATATATTCACCTGAAACCACGCTCCTTGTGAGCTAGCAGGCACTTTACACGACTTTCCTCACTTCGCTCAGGTGTAAATGAGTATTGTACAGGAAAACTTGACTCCAATTTAACTCAAACTCGTTTCGATTCGTATAGAAAGGTAGTTGTGGACTAAATCCAGTCAGGCTACTCCCGCACGCTGCCGAACTTTTGAGGAAAAGTCGCGAATGTCCCTGTCACACATTCCCGAACATTTCCCGAACACCACCAAGATTGACTGAAGTTTGGGAGCAGTCTGACCAGATTTAGGCCACGCCTTTCTTTCTGTATGGATCGAATCGAATTTGAGTTGAATTTGAGTCATATTTGACCCCCGAACACTGATGACGTACTGTGTTCGGGAGGCTATATTCGGTTGTGTGTGATTTACGTTCGTTGTGTATGCCGTCGTGCAATTCTCATACACAGCCTACTCGAAATTATGTCCATCAGCTCCCTACATGTCAATTCATAAGTCCTTTCTTGAGTTCTTGTCTTCCAAAGCAACTTAGCAATTGCAATGCAACGCTGCATACTAGGTATTGAGTACCCCATTCTTTTCACGTGTACATAAAGGACAGCCCAAGTAATAATAATAATAATAATAACTAGAATTCCGAGATCTCATACCTCCATGAAATATGATCTTGATATGTAAATGTAAATTTCTTCTTTAATTGTTCAAATGACCTCTGCATTAACATGATATATGCATCGTGATGTATGTTAACTTTTGATTAACTTACAGATGTCCCAAGTATGACATTCTCATCATTCACCATTACGAAATCATAGAATTTTCACATTAATTATGCAAATTAGGTCATCATTTGCATAATTAGTATCTGTTGAAGTTCCGCCTGCCATAGGTTACATAGTATAATGTAAAACACTGTAATTATAGAATTTCCTCATTAATTATGCAAATAAAGTCCTCATTTGCATAATTTGCATTTAATTATGTACATCTCTCTCTCAGCTACCTACACACCAAAAATAATGAAAATATGTTGTTCCTGTCTGGACTTATTGGCTTTTAAACATTTCACCAGAAAGTGCCCTGCAGTTCCAGAACAAGCCGCTAGGGGGCCCAATCTCATATGACTTCTTCCCAAGCACGAGAGCTACCTTCCACCAAAATTTCATGACCCTAGCATGTCCAGATCGCGAGATATCAAAACCGGAAGTTGCGCTGCAGTACCAAGGGAAGCCACTAGGGGGACCAAAATCTAATCATTTCTAGTTTTCGTCACACCCTACCAACACACCAAGTATGAAACCAATCCATCCAGGCGTTCTTGAGTTATCTTGTTGACCAACAGACGGACGGACAGACGGACAGACGGACAGACGGACGGACAGATAAACGCAACTGAAAATATAACCTCCATGACACATTTCATGGAGGTAATAAGGACTATAACCTTGGTACCACCCTGCCACTGCGTTTTAAGTTGGACACAGTTGCGGGCAGACAAACTCTCCAAGCAGAGGTTTGGGTTTTGGCTTATTGTTGGGGTGTTTTAAAGCCTTTTTATCGTTCTTTCTATTTCGCACCGGTGTCTTATCCTACGCCAAAAAGATACCAAGGAAAGAAAGCCCGATAAAAAAGCCTAAAAACACGTCCAAAAGAGGCCAAAACCAAACCTCTCCTTGTAAAGTAGGCGCACCCGGCTCGAGCTCATTGTATTAATGTCGGTACAGGTACCTTGACCTGTGAATCGAAGAGGAACGATCCTTCTCCTGTTTACGAGTCGCGGTGTTCTTTGATTCCGTCAGCCGGGGATGGAACACGACGGTCGGGTCGCATGGGTGGCGTCGACAGGGATGTGGGGAGGTGTAAAAATTGCCACTTTTTCCGAAGAAAAATATTGATTACGGTATTTCTGCCTATCAATTTCAATTGTGCATCGGAAAGCTATGAAGAAAGATTCCGGGGCGTTGTGAGTAAAGTTAATATTGAATTGAGAGTCTACAAAAAGTATGTATGGGCCAAAGTGAATTAAAACGTCAGAGTCAGACCCCCTAGGTATCAGAAATAAAACGACATAATTTTAACGGACTTTTAATTAAAGGCTTTGGTATTGATATACCCTATTGTATTGTTTTCATACATAAAGCAATCCATTCCCCCAACAAATACATGTAGTACATGTTGTATCGTGTTGTAAGACGGTCCCGAAGCCATTTTTGTTCTACTGTACATTTGGTACCGTTTTCCCTCCGTTTTGCGATGTAGAACGAAAATGGCCCCGAGTACGTATTCCTCTAGCGGTACAAGCAGGAATTGCAGGGACGCGACAGGCTAGGGTTTGTATTGGGTCGACTTGTCAGCAGTTAAGTGTGCAGCGGTCCAAAATACATGTCAAATTTATTCACTTCAAATATGGTGTCCTAACTTCACCAAACTACATTGATTTTCTGCAAACACTATTCTCCATGACATGATACTGCTTGTGCATCAGAAAAACCAAAAAGCACCCATGGAAAAGTGAATATAAAAATATGTAATTATGAAAATAGTAGTTGACTGTCAACAAATATAATTTTATTCACATTTTCGGCTTAAGCTGTGCTACATACGTGTAAAGGATAGCACAGAATAGCATGGCTGTAACAACACGGTAATATTGGGTATCATGAACAAGAGTGGCAGTATTCACCATATGGTACATTCTTTTTCATTATCCAGAGACCGGATGCACTATGTAATAATTTGTACACTATACCAGCACTGGTAAGTGTTCTAATGTTATTTAGTGGAGCTACTTCAGGCATATTCATATACCTTCAACGAAATATGGATATATTCTAGATAAATATATGGTCATCTATATGCCGCAATTGTAAAATGCATCTACAAATCGACAATCTATTGCATTTCTTATTCTATTCAATTGATTACCTATGTACGGTAATCTAAAATCTACGGTTACGGCATTGCTAGAATTTAAAAATTGCAAACTTAAGCGATGAGCACGTGGTGTCTTATCTACCTTGAAAAAAGACTGTTGAGCTATTAGCCTAGTTACCAAACCTATTTTAGCTCCCGAGTCTTTTATCCTTTCCTATTTGCGGAGAGGGTGAAAGAAAGACTCGGGAGCTAAAGTAGGTTTGGTAACCAGGCTATTAAGCTGTTTGCTGGGTAACGATCGTCTGAAAATTCATTGCCTTTATCTGTGGATTACAATTACAAATGGCGACCTGTACATGTCTTGTTGTGTGATTACGTTACATACGAATGTTAAACAGCTGAATGTGACCCTTAAGCTTTATGAATCTCTGAGAACAAGGCACGGAAGAACGTACTTTCCAAGCAGAGGATTATTTTGACGTGTTTTAAGCGTTTTTATCCGGATTTCTTTTTTGTGCTGGTATCTTTTTTTTTTACGCCAGACATTTACGTGTGACAAATGGTAACTGTCTGGCAAATAGATACTGCCTGGCCTATTTGATACTGTCTCGCAGTCGCCAAAATATCTGCTTGGAGATTATTTTGGACAAACGGTCCGAACAGCCTCTGTTGTATTCAGAGCCGAGCTTTATCCAGATCCATGCTCAGGCACGGTTTTGGATAGTCCACACCTATCCAGAACCGTGCCTGGGGAAAACCTACGTTCTTGGACACGCGGAGGCCATCCAGCTTGATCCTAACCCATTCAGGCATAGAACTAGATAAGCACGGTTCTGGATATGACAGTCTAGTCTCCATCAGACTCCTTTGCAGGCTGAATAAATAGTAGAAATCGGCCTAAAATGCGATATATAATTGGTCCTCTGGTCAATTATATCCCCTTTTTAGGCCGATTTCTACTATTTATTCAGCCTGCAAAGGAGTCTGGTGGAGACTATTAGAACAATCCCCGACTCCCCTTGCCATTAGTCTCCACCAGACTCCTTTTCAGGCTGACTTAAATAGTAGAAATCGGCCTAAAAAGAATGTAGCTGGCTAGGGGAGTTGGCCGGCCATAGAGGGTCCAGTCTGCCATCTAAATTCCTTTTAGGCCGGTTTCTACTATCTATTCAGCCTGCAAAAGAGTCTGCTAGAGACTACCTTGCCGGCAGCGTGAAAAACACGGTCGCACCGCCTTCGATTTTACCATAATCGGGCTAAATTGGCGCAGGCGCGCTTTGCATAATTCATGCCACGCGCCCGGCTTAGGCACCTGCGCGGGGGAGACATTATTAAAAGAGCCGTGTATCGAACCATGTAATAACCGGGAAAATATTTTGGCACCCGGCTAGTCGAAGCGTGGCTCCCGCGGCTCGAAAACGTGGCTTAACGCTCTGAGCCGTCCGCGTGTTTCGCAGAGATAGCCGTTCTGCCGATACTCCGACTTATTCTATCTACCCCGCGCCTGCAGACGACACTTTCGGTATCAGCGGTGTTCTCTCCGTCAATTAGAACTACCTTATCCGTTCTGAAAAGGGCTACAAAATCTCATTTGGTTGGCGCGAGGAGATGACAGCGAGGCGAGGCCGGTGGGTGTTCGCTAGTGGCTTGTCCGCGGGGCACAGCCGGTGTTCTACCGACCAGACGGTCAGGGTGGGCCGGTGAAACCATGCCGCTTTCTCAGCTCCGAGGTTTGGGACATTTCTGAGGGAGGCAGTGGTACCGGAGGGCGCGGAGAAAAGGTTTCCCGAGCGAGCGCCGTACGTCGGGAGGGCGATGAACAAACAAGAGGATAATATGGCACGGATGACGAGGGTCTTGGGACTCGGCCTTCTCTGTGCCGCGATAGGAACAATTCCAGGTTAGTCCTACTTTTTGTCCTACCCCAGTCCGGCTGGTACGCTCGTACCGTTTGTATCCAAGTGGTAGAAATTCGACTCCTGGTCTTTGTTGTTTTATAGTCGTCAAATGCGAAAGGGCAACGCCTTGATTTCGAAAGGGATGTAACATCGACACATGTTTATGGTCGCGTTTTGCGAAATTCATGGGAAAAAATTCTAAAATCTTTCCAAGGATGTACACACTCTCTCCGACTACTAGTGTCCAGTAAGGCAGGGGTGTGGAGCAGGTATTGGAAAGCGAAAATGGGCCAAAAATCTCAGTCCGATGGTTACGCTGGAGGTAGAAAAGGGCTCGTTCCGAATCTAATTCTATTTGCGCTAATCGCACACGGCTATAAAGTGACTTAACATCCCTCAGCGAAATCATAGGGAACAACGGGAGACACAGGCTGAATATTCTCATGCTCAGCCTCGATTTTTTTTATTATTTTTATATGCGTGAAGGTCGACGAATGTACTTCCTTAGCGAACGTCAGAAAACGTAGGTCTTGAAAATATATCATTTTTTCAATTAACATGGGGAAGGTGGCTGATATTTGTAGCATATTCCTTTGCCTAATAAGTGTGAATAATTTCATGACAGAATATAGTGCACCAGAGCGTCCTCAAAGTCTTATCGGACCGTTTTACTTCAAACTGGGACACAGATGTTTTGAACAGTACTAGTTTTGATGGGGCGAAAACTGCTACTGTATAGTACTTTCTTTTCACTTTTTTTTATTTGTCAACTTCCAACAGTTTGATACATTATTTTTGGTATGTTAATATTTTTAAACGTTCGTATAACTATGATTGGCCTCGTCAAAATTGTTAGTAATAATCAAATTCTGATATTTTGCTGTGCTTGCTTCACATGACCCCCAGGGATATGTCTGCAATAATAATAATGTCATGGGTTTAAACATTAGCATAGGCCATCGTAATGTATTCAGAATAAAACATGTCTCTGATCAGTCATACTGTATGTTTATGTAGTAATGCTTTTTGTGATCGAAGCTATTAGTACATGGCGACCCATTGATTGAGCATGTAGGATAATATTTCAAAAAGTGTTTAGACACCAAAAAGACAACAATGATTGTAAAAAGCACATTTTTCGTCCTATATATATTATGTAATGTAGATTAGGCTCTTAGTACGTTTGTTATATAGCAGTAGATGACATGCGTTGTACGTCGTACAATGTTTGTACAATGGAGTTTAGTTGTACATTTTTAAGTTCCAAAAATTATACATTTCATCTCGCAGCGACGAACAGATCACGCAGACATATGTGTGCATTTTGAGCTTATTTTGTTTGACGTATACGTTATATGGATTAATAAGGATTTTTACTAGTCTGACTTTATTTGCAAAACGTTTGCTTCTTATTTCACTAAATGCCCCCCCCCCCCCGCATGTCCAGACAGATGTCTAATGTCAACATTATCAGGGCTAATGTGATTGACACAATTCCTCCCTTCTAAAGCTATTTTAGCATGCATCAATCATTAGAAACCATCTTGGGTAAGACACAACTTCCAAAAACAATGGAAACTCGTACATCAATCATTAGAAACCATGATGGGAAGGACATAGCTTTTTCAAAAAACAAAGGATTCAAACACTCATCATAGTCGCTCTTTAGATACGATATCTTATCCTTTTGGCTCAGGCAAAAGCTCAAAGACAGCTACACAGGGTCTCATTTGTTTATGATAAATCCCACCTATAAAGCTATAAAACATTGGAAAGGACGGTATTTTGTCCCTTATACTTATTACAAACACAATCGTAGCTATAGTGTCTTATTCGTATCACACTTCACTTCTCTGTGAACGCTTGACTGAAAAGTCCAAACTGAAATACTATTCGACGTTTTAACCGTGCATTTTTCTTACATTCAAAGAAAGGTTATGCTGGACCTTTATAAACATATGGCAGTCTTTGTAGCATTTTGTCCTTTGAGTTCAGTAGATAAAGGCACTAAAGCAGGTATCTCATTTGTAGTAACCTTTACTTTTCTATGAACGCTTGGCCGAAACGTCCAAACGTTTTAGCCATGGATGTTTGGAGGAAAGGTTATGCCGGATCTCTGTACACATATGGCAGACTTTACTGTTTATGCTTACTTGTACATTTTCCCCCCGGGCTCCCCAGGGATAAGCGGTTAGTGGCTCCTTTGATGTATTCCATCTATACCAATTTTCCTAAAATAGAGCGTTACTCACTCGTGAGTCGACATCAATGATCCCAGGACGGGCCGGTCGTATGCAGTGTGGGGTTTCACATCAACTATTGGAGACGCTGTTTAAATCATTGATTCAATACAACAAAGAGCTGTATTCAATATAAACAGAATCCTTTGTTGCTGAATTATTTGCAACATTATCGATTTGCAATAACTAAATTTAGTAACTTTAAGGCATGGTTTACCAAAGGAAAGAAAGACAGCTGTTGCAAAAACATGCAAAAAAGGCTGTGTTTTATCATCATGTTGCAGTGTATTGTCAACCTACTTTAGCCGCAGGCAATTGTGCCATTATTGTCATCTGAATGGCAATCATTAATTTTCTTTGTAGCAATACGAATACTAGAAAGGTAACATTTGCAAAAGTAACCCTTACTGTATAGAAATAGGTAAACATATCAAAGAATGTTTAGACCTTAGAACAAGTACTAGAACAAATTGAGTCATCTATTGTCTATATACGTAGGTTAATTTTGTTGTACCCACGTATCTGTCTGTCTGTCTACATGTAGTTAAAGACCATACGAAAGTCGCTGTACTGTTGTTGTGTCAATAAAGTTCTTGTAAACCAACACCACAGGGTAACATGTTCCCTACACCGACATGTCCGTCCCAGACGGTGGTCCGTCTCTGTTCGTTACCTCCGAATCCCCCGCGTGATCCCCCCAGTGAATTAACCTTGAGTACCTGCTGATGGCAAATAGCATGGCATTAACGAGCTTTCCTAGGGGAGGGGGGCGCATTCATGTGCATATCTATAAACGCTCTCCAGTTTATGCATAGTCTGGGACCGTTTTGAAAGCGAGCAGAGTAAGAACTATGCTATATGGTGGAAACTGTGCTATAGGGTGCTACGTTATATCCTTGTACTTTTAGTTGTGGTGGTAGCTCCTAGAGGAGGGCGTACTTTCATGTACTTATCTATGAATTAAATGCGCTAAGGTTTATGTACAGTGTGTTTGTTGCTACTTACAATATTGTTATCTGATTGCATTTATGATGCGTTCATCGTTGTTCATATGTATGTATGAAATATATTATATGGTCCCGTTATCAACTAGCAACTGCCTCGTGCAAATATTACATTGCCATGCTAGAGTCTTAATATTAAAAGTTAAGTATAAAGCGCTGCATTTTATGCGAAGTCTGGAATCCTTTGGAAAGTGAAAAAAGTAAGAACTACAATGTATACTATAGGGTGGTACATTACGTCCTTTTACACCACTATCTACTATTTATCTGTGCAAACTTTGGAAATGTAGCGACAGCTGTGGTGGCAGCAGCAAAGTTCCGCATAGTTTATAGCGTGGGAGGAGTGTGGGGGGGGGGGTCATCTGTTGTAACGTGGATCGTTACATTACAACTGTGCAGGCACATTATGTCTATATAATGTCCTTGAACTGAGATAGCTTATCGGATGATTTTGTACAGAGGAAGCGTGTATTGTTTCCTGTATTGCAATATCTATTACATTATACAGGGGTGAGGGTACCTTAAATATTGTTTAAAATAGCCCACAGTTTGGCTGGCTGTTAGGAATATTGAACACAATACTGAATCCTGATCAGTTTTTCCGTTTTGCCTGGACGTTAGAATTAGTTTGCAAAATAACTAAGAGATGCCTCGCGTTGGCCATAGGACATGTACAAGAGCGGTCCAACATTGTGAATACCATTTTCTGTCAAAGTTTCTGTTAGCATGTGTGCTAAGAACGTATAACAGAAGTTTATTGTGATAAAGGACAACCCATGTAACAGAATATTGATCAATTGTAATTAGTAGAGAAAGTACACTGTAAGTGAGCCTTTTTTAACATAAGCCATCGATTTGCAAATCCACATTTACCAGGTGACAAATTTATCACGTAACACAACTGGACTTAAATGGTACATAATACTAAATGTATTGGAAACCTGATGCTTAAGAAGACTAACATGTTTTAATCCACCATACTGTGATAAGGTAGCTGTTTCAATTGTTTCAAAGCTTGTCTTAGAAGCTAGAAATTATTATCCAAAAACGTCCCCATGTACCATGTACAATTGCCGTGCAATAAAGTTCGTCTTCTGTGCCGAAGTATAATGGAAGAAACTGACAAAACAGCAAACTGTGTCGGTCGGACTCCTTCCTCAAGAAGCGATAAGTTGAACCTGTAAATAGTAGTTGACATTAGTGTGCATAGTTTAAAAAATATATTACTGTAATTTAAAAGCGGAATTCCAGTCAGAAGTTTTGAGACCGAAACGCAAGCAAGGTACGACAAGGTTGGTTGTGTAACTGAAAACTCCTATATACTATACTCTACCAGCCTTATTATTCATGACCTCTTAGCTTGTAACATAAACATACAACAAAGGTTTCTCATTCATTCTTATAATGGAAGAGAAGAAGGAAACAGCGAACTGACTCCCGACCCGTTTCTACCTCCCATCGGAGCCCCATTTCAATCACGTCTCCTAAAAGCACTAATAACTGATGGCCCCCCGAAATCTGAATCAGAAATGTGTCACACCTTGTCGTAAACTATCCCTTCCCGTGGCGGGATGGATTGCCGGCTCCTATCTCTGAGCTGCAGCTGCCACAAACGGGGCAGGCTCATCTCAAAGTCCTAAATATCCCTCCCAACAACATCTATCCGTTACCAATTCAAACAGTTTGTTAGTTAGTCAACAATTCATTACCGCAACTAAACGCTTCTAAAACTCAATTTCTTTCTTGTATTTTATTTCA